CTTGAAAACACATACATTCGGGGCTCTGGCTTCCACAGTCGACTTCAATGCGACTACAATCCATTTTCTGGTTCAAAACCTCTGAGAATTGGAATTGGAAGCTCCGCCCCTGGGCTGTCTCGTGGCCAGGGGTATGGTGCCACTGGTGGTTCTGGGAGGGCTGGTGAGGGTGACCGTGGGAGTGCAGGGAAGCCTTTTGCCCAACCTTCTAAAGTGATGGGAGCTGCTGCTTCCCCAAGCCCCTCACAGTAAAATCTGTAACTAGAGAAGTTCCTTCTCGCTCAGCCAAGGAGCCCAGCCAAGAACCTAATGTGGCTTAAGGAGTGGGGATGGGTGGGTTAAGAAGATGGAGGGTCATGGCGTGAAATTTGATCTGAGGGCTGCCCCCAAACAAATACAGGCAAGGAGCTGTCGATTTTCCTTTTAATGCAAAATGTTGCAATACAAAATGAGGTGGGAAAAGTCCCATTCTTTATGGCACTAGCGGGAGAAGGGGGGCAGAGTTGAAAGTCTCCTTCTCTTACTCCTCTCCTCTCGCTTCTGACTCAAACTGACACAGAAATACTCAGTTGCCTGTTCACTGGGGTTGCCCCCCTACGAGGGTCAGAGCTCTGGGTCTGGGTCGTCTGGCTGGTCTAAAACTTGTTGGCACGGGGCAGGAGAGGAGGAGAGAACCTTCAGGGTTTTCTCTCTTCGTTCTAAAAGGATTACTCAAGATGCAGAGTCCCATATGAAATGAAGGGCCGTGAGAATTTGGCGTCCATTCGCTAAAGATATGGGATTTGAACCACAACTCGCCCACATTTGGAGAATGAGGAGCAGGAAATTAGGGATATACATGTATGGGTGTAAGAGAGATCAAAAGCCAAGGCTACCTCCTCAAACTTCTTCCTCTTTCTTCCTCATCTCCAGCTTATAGACAATCTGGTAGCCATCATCCCAGGCATAGAGCTGGCGCTCGCGGGGGTTATAGCGGAGGCTGGCGTGGGCACCATATCGGCGTGGGAAATAAGGGAGGGCTGCCCTCTCAGGAGTCAGGGTGCCGCTGGCATCGAAGGAGCACTGGACACGGGCCCGACTGGCAGGGCGGGTGTTATAGACGACATACAGGGTCCCACAGATGACAAAGGCAGCCTCGGCGTTCTCTCTGGGACACGGTGTGTCCCACTGTTGCTCTGTGTCCAGTGTCTGCGGGTCTAACTTGGCCAGACACAAGTGTCTGTCATCCTCCTGGGTGGCATAGACGGCCCAGAGACCCTCCTCGTCGGCAGCCAGGTCAATGTACGTATCGGATGTCAGCCCATAGGGGGGGATCAAAGCCTCTGCAGGGAACACGGAACTGTCCACTACGGTTCGGTTCGCCAGGTGGAATTTGATGAGCTGCAAAGTGGTCTCCAAGTCACCACCCCCGCCAGGTCCTCCAGGAGGCCTCCGGGCATAGTAAAGAAAACCACCATATACCAGCTGCCCTGTGCCTACCCAGGGGAAAGGCACCCGGATTCGGGAAGCCTTCCGGGCAGCCATGGTGAGGGTGAAGTCACGCAGCTTTGGGAAGACAAAAGCGGTGTCATTCTGGGTCCCATCTAACACATAGATCTTCTCCGTTGACCCCAATGGATCCTTGGTCCACAGGCCAGCTGGGCCCCCAAACCGCTTCAGGATCTTCATGGATCTCACCTGAGAGATGGTGTAGCCACAGTCTGGTGGGAAAGGAGAAAAAGCACAGGACAAGGAAATTCAGGCGAGAGTCAGGTGCCCACAGCAGGATGTCGCCACCCCAGGGTGGGCCGTCTAAAAGAGAGTGGGCATTTGCCGGGTAGATGCCTCCACTCTTATGGAGGATTGGGACAAAGGGCACCATGGGGACATGGGTCCCCAGAAACTCTCCTTAATGGACCTGTCTTTACAGGGATTGCCCTAAAACAGATTGCAGAAGATAGATCCACAGTGGACCGAGACAAGGAGAAACAAGGAAATGAACCAAGGAAGATTATAGTGTTAGGGGCCTGCTTTCAGATCGCTTACCTGTCATCATGTCATACTTCTCGTTTCTTCTGCCTTTGCCTTTGGTCCCGGGGCCTCCGGTCACCTTCTCATCAACTTCTACACAGGGCAGAGCTGGGTTCTGGGTCTCCAGATAGTCAACCTCCCGCTCCAGGCGGTCCACTCTCCCCACAATGGTGTCCGCCTCGGTTCTGAGGGCCTCCCGCTCCTTCTCAGCCACCTCCAGTAGCGGCAGCATCTTGTTCTTGAAGTCCCGAAGTTCAGCAGCGTGGCGACTGCTCTGGTCCTGGCACTGGGCCAGCCGCTCCTGGAGGGATGGGGGAGGGGGGAGGGAGGGCTGCCAAGTTACAAATCCCAGGCAGGGAGAGGCCCAGCCAGGGAGTCCGGGAGGGGGAAAAGCATGCAGCGCTCGGCCAGGCAGCAATATCCCGGTCAACCCCCACTGAAAGGAAACCAGATGTTCAGAGATGCTAAATGTGCAAAAGCCCGACTCAGTCACCTAGGCCCCTCCCCGCACTAAACGTCCCCCAGCCTGCGCTGTGAGCAGTGCCACTGAGTCCCTGAGCCTCTAGGTCTAAGTGCATGGGGGTGGGAAGGGGTCTGGGCTCCATTATACAATTGTCCTCCTGGGAATTAAGATGCTACAGACTTCAAACAGAAAGTTGCAGTTTCCCTGGGAACTTCCAGCTTTAACAGAATCATCAGCTTGTCTTGAGATGTATCCCCACAATCCTAGCTCCGTCCCCTTATTCTATCTAATCCCCAGGGTAAAACACGAAGGTCTGAATTGCTCTGTGTATGTGGGGAAGAAGAGGACTTACAACTTTGAAGATCTTCAGGGGTTTTCTGTGGGTTCTTACAGAGCCCTATCTTGTCATCCCCAGATGCCTGACAAACTGGCTGCATCCACAGATGCGGAATCCTGCCATGCTGGGTTCGAAGAGAGTTGCTCACCTCTAAGGCAGCTAGTCGGCGCTCCATGTACTCCATCAGGTGGTGCTGCTGTCCTTGAAGCGGTCCCGACCATGACAATAGGAGCAAGACGAGGAAAGGGGTGCAGGGTCCCATGGCAGCAGGAAAGTAGAGCCAGAGTAGGAGTGTGCAGTCCTGTGCAGGCGGCCTCTCCCCCTCAGACCCACGGGTTAGCTTTGGGGGCGGGATGGGGCGGGGCCTTCTCTTTCTGGGTCTCCGGGTCTCTCTCACTACTCTGGAATGCTTGCAGTCTCTTCACAGCCCCCACTCCCTCCTCTCCGCCTGGATTGATCAAACACAGATGGCCCTACTGCAGAGCAGCCAGAAGCCTTAACCACCTCCCGCCTAGGCTGTAGGCTCCCCAAGAGAGGGGAAGGCAATGGAAACCCTAGGGCAGTGCCTTCCGGGCAGTCACCCAGGAGGAGCTAGCTGTGGGAAGCTGAGGCCCCAGAGAAAACAGCAAACTTGCATGTTTTAGAATGCTCCCAGTGCTGCCTTGAGAAACGTCCTTCATCAGTCCTGCCCTTTCCCAGCAATAACAACATGGGTTGTCTTCTGCCTTGTTCCGTGGAAGCTGGAAGCGGGGAGATGAGGTTTGAGGGGAAGAGGTGGGAAAAAACCACAGCGGTCAAGTCTGTGCTACCTTTGTCTAAAGCTCATTGGCGCCATCTCGTGCTGAACACCAGGTGTCATTTTAAGATTAAGAAGGAAATCAAGGCTTTGACTTCACGTGGAATTTTCCACAAAGCAAGCCAAGCAGACTGAATTTATAGGGACTTTTATCATTAAAATGCAGATTTCCCTACAGACTACCCAATTACATAAGGGGTCATCCCAGTATCTCTCCGATTTAGCCTAAGGAAGGGAGGGTGTAACTGACAATTGGAAAAACAAAACAAAACCAAGTCATAGAGAAATTAAGTCATTCTTGGTTACCTGGAAGCGAGATTGACACAGACCCTTTCTAGATGGCTTTCTTTTACCTGAAAGCTTCTAGCTATATTCTCTTACCAAAACTGGGGAGTGTTCAGTGAGTTCACACTAATTTTACATTTATTTATTCAGGAAAAAAATCTGAAAAATACATATGTTGCATTCTAAATCAAAGTGTGTTCTGACTTACCTACTAATGCAAGAGAACAGACTATTGATGATTTCTCTTGGTTATGGTCCAAAAGGGTGTTTCTAAACGTTTCGCATTTTTATATCCCAGTTATGACTGTAGGAGCCCCAAATGAATTGATGACCACTGTAGAGGAAACGTGACCTGAAACGCGTGTGTCAAAAGAAGTCAAACGAATATAGCATTTATTCAGAGACCTGCAGTGATTAATCTAGACAAATCTCTAATGCTTTACCCGGATAAATTTTATTCACTTTAGAATCAAGAGAAATCTGATCAGAAGTGCTTCTTCTCTAAAGAGGACCATGCTTGTAACAGTGCAGCTTGAAAGGAGGGGAAAATAGCATCTTCTCATGATGATGATTATTTTTATTCTAAATCTTTAGATGTCTGGTGGAACATGCTAGGAAACAAGAGTGTAATTAGCCTGTGCCAGAAGTTTCTGCCTCTTTGAAAGGGCCAGATCCAGGTGATCTTAAGTTAGGGCGCTGGACACTCTATTCTTGGGGAGCGTTCCCTATTCATTTGTGTTATGGAGGTTTAGATCAGCAGTTTTCAACCTTCCTAATGCCGTGACCCCTTAATACAGTTCCTCATGTTGTGGTGACCCCCAACCATAAAATTATTTTCGTTGCTACTCTATAACTGCAATTTTGCTACTGTTATGAATCGTAATGTAACTATCTTTTTGTTTTCCGATGGTCTTAGGCAACCCCTGTGAAAGGGTTGTTCGACCCCCAAAGGGGTCGCGACCCACAGGTTGAGAACCGCTGGTTTAGATGAAGAATGGATCTGTCTCTAATATATTCTACTGATGTTCACATGCAATATATGTAGCCACTCCAAAGATGCCATTTGACCCCCCTTTGTATCCCTATAACAAAAGGCAAAAACAGCCACGTGAATCAGAAAATTTACCCATTTTATTGATGCATTGCAATTGCTCTACATTTTACCATATTATGTAGAAAATACTGAAAATACAAGCTACTTTGTAAAACCAAAGACAAACATTGAATCCAAAGATAAACTATGTTTTATACAATGGACCCTTTTCCCATAGTTAGTATTAAATTTTAAATATCTATTTATTTTGTTAAAATGATTATTTTACATACTCCCTAAGTACACCTGCATTACAAACAGAGCTCAGTAATTCTCGGAAACTGTTTCTAGAGGCTTGTTGTAAAAGAAAGCGCACAACCAGAAAAGGGAGAAAGCAAAAAAAAGTTTAAATCGCACACAATAACTAGCATATCAAATACATTTAAAGTTGGAATTCCATTGCAATATCAAGGGTTCAAAGCAGAAATACTAACATTACATATAATGTACACAGAATGTACTGCTACATGTAGTGAGATTATTTTTCAAGCTGAATCAAAACCACACATTATATAAAGTTGAGCAACAAACAACCATGGAGACATGCTGCACCATCCATCAGTTAAAAAAATCAAAACAGGAAGCAGGCATAGGCCATTCCTGTCACTAAGAGGCAATTTCATTTCCTAACTTAAAACAAACCATCCTAACCAGTGGGGTTTTGCATAATAATGCCGAGTAAAACACACATTACTGTGCTTGCCTGGCGGAGGGCAGTCAAGCTTAGCCCCTCTAGTGGAGGATGATGGATGGCCAGAACTGTTTGAAATGGAATTCTTGTTCCTGGGGCTGGTATGTTAGCGGAGCACGCAGACAGTAGGATCACCTCTTGGGAGCTATTAAAAACTCCGGATTGATCAAGGGTCCTGATGAGCCTAGAGTAACTTAACCCTTCCCCACTTTCTCACCCTGAAGGGGAGAAGCTGGAAATGCAAGTTCTGAGAGGACTTCAAGCCAAAGGTAACCTGGTCTGAGGTCAGGCCGCTTGACTGGGTGGGGCCAGCTGCTCACTAAATTCCAGGGGCTCCCCACTTCCTGCAGAGGCCGGCAAGGGAAAGCCCCAGGGACAGAATCTAAAGCCACACTAAGCACACATACGTTCAACAGACACAGTGGATTTTTATCTTGGTAAATCTGAAATGCCAATTTGCAGACTAAGACTGAACATTTCTAAAGTCTTTAAAGCCAAACACTGCTAGTAAGGTGATTAAGGTACCAATCCAAACTCCTGGTATTGTCTTTTCCCTGTGAAGACTCCTATCTTAAATGGTACCTGCTATTGGACTGGGGCAGGAGTGAAGTGTTCTGTGGGGTTTCTTCCTGCATCTCATTTCTTACAAGAACAATACATCTTATCCCTTGTAGAAGAATGACAAGGAACAACAAAAAAAATTGTTTCCATTAGAAACTAAATCAAAGGCAAGAAAATCAGAATATACTTGGCAAAAAGGAGACACAAAGATCACACCCGCTGACCAGAAAACTGTGTGAAGATGAGTGACACAAACCATGCAAACTGCTTGAGTATCTTGACCAATACAACGCAGAAAATACAACTCAATATAATGATTAAAAAATAACGAAAACACGACATGTTCCTGGGAGGCTGTACTGACTCTCTGCCCCATCCTGGGAGCCCTTTACTCCTCACAATGAAGAAACTCCAAATACCTTGCCAGCTCCTCGGTGTTCAACCCGGTCCAGAGCTTGCTGACCAGGCTCCATGAAATCTCCCATCTCCATCCCGCACCTCCTTGACACCATCTCTACAAAGAACCAGTCCTAGATTGATCCCTCAAATATGTCATTTTCAGTTCAGATGGAACACTGCTACATCTTAGGGTTAGCCTTCTTCCCCCAAATCTCTTATGGGCAGGCACCTTCCCAGCCCCAATACCTTCTACGTGACCCAGATCCATGCTGGAGCTGAGAGTACAAGGGCAATCTCACAGTTTGAAGGGCCCCAAGAATATACAAGTTGTTAAAAAAAACCCCTCAAAAGCCCAATGACTCGACAGGCTGGGGTTCCTCCTTATTATAATATTCTTCACCAGCTAAGAAAACTTTCTGTGAGTTCCCTGTCACCAGCGGCATCACAAAACTCCTCCTCATAGTATGGGGACATGGTAAGCAACACAACAGGCTCTTTGGTATAAACACATCTGGTATGTGTTTTTTTCAACAAATGTTTTACTAGGAATGTCAACTATTTGCAGGAAGCACTGCCACATGGGGAAAGGGGGGAAATCTCACTTTAAAAGCGATTGCACATACTTTAAAAAAAAGAAAAAAAATGCATATTAAAGATTGGCTTGACTCCTGTCCCTTGCTTCCTGAATTCTTCCAGAAGCGGGGGAGCGATGCACAGTGACAGGCACGTGGGGAGCACGCTTCTGTGAGAACTCAGCTGAGATGCCACAATGGAAAGGGGCAGAGGTGGCAGTAAAGGAGAAAAGCTGCTACTTTTATTTTCCAATGTCCATCGGCAGGGAAACTGAGATGGGAAAATGCATTTACACAACACAGCTACTAATCCTGTTGAAAAATCCCTGTGAACAGCTATGGGTCCACGGGGGCTTGCTGGTCCATCCTAAGGCAAGCTCACTGTAAACGCTAGAACCACTACATTATATAAGGCACTACAATAAGGGAAGGGAGAGTCACACACTGAACAACGCCTCATCAGACACACCTGTGCAAAACAACTCCAAGGGTCTCCTTTCCTTGCAGGCAATGCCCCTGCTTATTCAGCACTACAGTAATATGCTCTAATATAATAGCAATTAGTTCACATACATTCCAACAAGTATCAGTTCATTTTGGTTTAAATACAATGGAGACATCAATTCCATCTCCGGAGTAACACTGGAGGATCAGATACACACTAAATACACAATTCAAGTGTAATCACTACACATTTGATTACAAATAACATCTTGGGTTAGCAGGAAAAATTGTTATATTTTTTCTAATCAATATGTACATATTTAATTATGCAAAATATTAAAACACCACCATTACAAAACTTCTAAAATATTTTTAAATTCAGTAATAAATTTTTAAAATATTTTCTGCAATTCCTACATGCACTTATTGAATAAGTCTTAATAAGAAAGCATTCAATTTGCTGCTGGCATACAAAGGAAGCTACTTTAAAGTATAAAAGCTATACACAATGTTCTTATCTGGTTTCAGATTTTAGCTTTCTCCCCAAATAAATCACGTAGAACAGAAGGGAGAGATGAGGCGAGGAGAAAGAGAGGTGGATTATTGAAAATTCATACTGATCTTTAGGCAAAGCTCATCAGTGCCAGTTATCACATAATACAAAGAGATTTTGCATATAATAAAACATCCATCACCACACAATAATAACCACCTTAATGGCTTTTCCAATAATAAAATTTAAGCTGAATCGGAGAAGGACTTTTTAAAAAATAATTTAAAAAGAATTACCTGGTGTTTTCACAGCAGGTATGGATTCTCACACAAAGTGACCAGCAAATGGTGAGCTGCCTTTTAAAGACTACTTTGTAATAAACACAGGAGCAACTAAGAGAATCCCAATAGTAACACAGAGCAGAATGTAACCAGTTTTGCAAAAATAACAATTGCCCATTAAGTATAATGTGACTGGAGAACACTAAAACAATGTAAGTTTAAATGTCTCATAAACAAAGGTAAAATTTTGAGGAGAAATGCCTGATAGTAAAATACAGACTTGTGAAAGCTGCTCTTAAAATAAGCAATTAAGTCTTAGTTTTTTAACAACCAAAATGTAATGATTTTCCTTTTCTCACTTGTTACCCTATTTCATGTTCTTCTATCAACATTTTTCCTCTGACCAGCAATTACAATAAAACAATGTTAAATACAGAGGGGCTTTATTTAAAAGCATTTATAGAAATAAAGTCAGAGAGAGGAGAAAAAATATTTTTCAAAGGGCAACTTCAGAACACTCTCTTCCTTGGTAACTGAAGAAGACGGGCATCTGAACTCTTCCAAATACCAAAAATGCTGTCACAAAAATAAAGAATGAGAGAGGAGGGCAGGCTGTGGGAGACTACAGCAACGCAGTCCACACTGCCCCAGGTGCCTCAGGGGCCCTGCAGAGCGCACTGCTGCCTGAGGCCTCGCAGGAAAGGGCGAGAGGGAGGGCTCCCTGCAGCCCACTGCGAAGGCCTTGGGGCCGGGACGCAGCAGCCTCGGCCTTCTTCCCTCAGGCTCACCAGCTACAAGTAGGAGTACTGGCTGATCTTGGTAGGACTCAGTGGGTATCCAGTGTAAACTGCGGAGCCTCGGGACGACCCAATGTAGGACTGGGTGGCAAACTGGTGCTGGTACTGAGCAGGGGCCACGCTGGCAGAGGTGAGGAGGCTGGGCCCCACGCTGACAGGGACCTGGTGCACCAGGGTGCTCGGGTGGGCGGTATAGGCGGCTGTGTGCCTCGAGGAGCCCTGGGGGGAGAAAAGATGGGCGATGGAGCTGGTGGAGCCCAGCGCAGCAGCAGATGTGGGGGCGGCATATGTGTACAGATGAGGCTGGCTTGGCAAGTGAGCAGGGGCTGGGGCCAGGTGCGGGTGCCCTGCCGAGTGCAGTGGGCTGCCATGCTGGAAGGCGTAGGGGGCTTGAGACAATGGGGCCACAAAGGCCTGCTGCCTGCGGGGGGCAGGGTTGCTGCTTCTCTCCTGTGAGGCTGGAGCTGACGATGCCTGCTGGTTCTAGAAGGAGAAAGAAGGGAGTGAGGGATCTGGAGGTCACCCCAGGTCACGACCCAGAGGCCAAGCTGCTCCTGGGCTCCCACAGCACAGACTTGCCCAGGTGGGCAGTGCTGTCAGGAGCTAGCCACCCAGCCTCGGCCTCTTGGCAGAACAGGTCCTACCCCAGTCCACACGCAGCAGTGTGCTCTCAGTATGACAGAGGACAAGGGGAAGCACGAGCTCACAGTGCCACCCACGCCTGCCAGTTAGCAACGGCTCGCTCAGCTCACCCTATTCTGCTGTCCGTGAATCGGAACTTTTCCTAACCTTTCTTTCTTGCCATTGTTTCCTTTCGTTCTCCTCTAAGTTCTTCATCTCCCTCTTGAGTTGTGGAGCCTAAAACACATGCACGAATGCGACCTTACATTTGCACGTGCGCATGCATGCACTCTCTCTCTCTCTCTCTCTCTCTCTCTCACACACACACACACACACACACCACTACACCCTCATATATACACTTTCTCACTACTAGTAGACATCACCCAAGCACCAGAATTTTAGCTGAGGAAAGAGTGAACACAGAATACTGACCCTTTCCCCACCCCACCAGAGAAGCAGATGGGAGGAAAATCCCAGATTCAAATAACATGTAGGACTAGAATCAGTTGATGAAGTGGCCAGAAAGCTTTTCACTTTCTCTTGCCTCAAGTAAACAGTGTGAGGCTCCAGTTATTTATGATCTGGGAGATAAAGGAAGAGAATTGGGTCTCAGAGCACGAGCTGGTACAAAACCAGGTGTGGACTCAAGGATCCTAGGCACCTGCTAAATTCCAGACATTCCTCTCATCTTCTAGGACAGACTGGAAAGGTCTGATGGAAAACCTGAAATGTACATCCTGACCCACTTACAGAGGAAATGAAGAGACACACCACATGTGGATATGACGCAGGCCACAGAACACCAAATTGTTTGATACAAAAGGGGCTTCATTTGGCTTTATTCAGCAGTCCAGCCAGAAGCAGGACTCTCTGGAGAGTAGCAAGAGGAGGAGACCCGAACGGAAGGCAGCAGCCTCCAGCTCTTACCTGGCTAAGGTTGAGTGGCTGTGCTGCGCCAGTCCCGCCGCGCTGCACTCGGTACCCTGTGGGGGTGATACAGCATCCAGATGACTGCCCGCTCACTGAGACCACTGGCTTGGTCTTGCTGCTTAGGAGACCTAAAAAAGGGTCAGGCCTTAGTTAGTGATGAGTAGACATCTGGTCAGAATCACTGAGCTGAACTTCAGGTGGCATCCTGTCAGTCAGTCCACATTTGTACGAGGTTTACAAGAGTTAAGCTTTCAGGTGTATCTTATTTCCACAGTCACATTTACATCAGAACAGAAACTGTATTATCCATTTCTTTTCTGTCTTGCTACAAAGCTCAAAAAGGATCTTCAAAATGTTCACTTCGGTAAATATTATCTAATCTCCTCTAATGTACAAGGTACTGCTGGAAATAGAAGTACAAGTAAGGCAGTTGCTATCCACAAGGAGCCCAGTTTTATGTAGAAAAAGATTAAACACGTATAGAAATGATGATGTGAGCTGAGTAAGATACTGGTAATACTCAGGACATTTAAGTATCAAAAGGGTTTAAAGGAAGGCAAGATTCTATCTTAAAGGGCACGACTATCTTCAAATTCTAAGAAACTGCAGGGCCGGTGAATAGACAAGATTGATTTTCAAACATCAGCTTCCTTCTGGAGCCCTAGCAGGGAAGCTGGTGCAAGTATTCAGAGACTGGTGGAGTAGCCTACGTTCTTGGGACCCAACAGTAGGAGCTCCTGAGAGTCTTGTTCTGCAGTGGTCTGGCATCAGGAAGTTTTTGCCTTGTCTGCAATGGGACAGTTGTTTACTTCTGAGAACCACACTTAACACTACACTCTCAAACTGGAAGCCTCTTTATGTCTCTGGCAGTACGGAATTCACAGTAAAACACTAATTTACATAAGCATGGCAGAGACAGCTATACTGACACCCAAAATTCATGCTCCCAGGCCGGCTGTGTGGCGCATTGGTTAAGAGTTGGCTTGGGATACCAGCTCTGAGCAGCAGGGCCCTAGTTCGGATCCCACATGAGGGCCAGTGATGCTGCGCCCTCTACAGCTGAGATGGTGAATGACAGCTCGACCTGGAGCTGGGCTGCCGTGAGTCGCTGGTGATGGCGTAGGCTGCAGCAAGGCTGCAGTGGGCTTCTGTAAAAAGCTACCATAAATGGCCGGCAGCTGGCATGAGCGTGCAGCAGCTGGCGTGAGCTGCCGTGAGCCGCCGTGAGCGGCCGTCCAGTGGCCAGCGACCGACTTCCTTACCCGAGAAGAGTGCAAAGATAATACCAACATGGGTCAGTAAAGCAACATCCTCCACAACTAGACTAGAGAACAAAAGGACAGCAACTTGTCTGTTCCCCTCCCCAATTCCCCAATAAAATCTTTAAAAAAAAAAATTCACACTCCCCTCCTTTGGTGTGTAGAGTTGCCACTGGAAAACAGCTGCCTAGTTAAGGACTACATTTCCTGGGCCCTCTTGCCTCTAGGTGGGGCCATGTGACTGGTTTTCCCTATTTCCAGGACTAAATAAGTGAAATGCATGTGTCCCTCCAAACTTGCTCCCTCCTGACTGGACATGAGCATTCCAAGGCTCTGATCCTTACTTAACTCCCTGCAGGCCTACTGATCAGGAATACCGGCACGGGAAGGTCACAGGAGTAAGCGAACTTGTATTTTGTCAAGCCAGGGCAATCTGGGGCTTGTTACCACAATAAGCACTACCCAACAATGAAAACAAGGAGCCTAAGCCCAGCTCTAACAGCAAAAAAGATGGAGTCGTGGGTTGATAATAAGCCCACAAAAGCATCACTGCTGTGACCTTGGGAGAGTAAAGATCTGCAGTACCTACTGTTTTTCATAAAAATGTCTACATTTTTTTTTTCTTAATTTGGGGAATTGGGGGAGGGGAATAGCATTGGAGAGTCAGGGAAGGGGAACAGACAAGTTGCTGTCCTTTTGTTCTTCAGTCTAGTGGTGGAGGACGTCGCTTCACTGGCTCATGTTGGTATTGTGATCATTGCGCTCTTCCTGGGTGAGGCAGTCACTTGCCAGCCATTAAACGGCCACTCACGGGGGCTCACAGCAGCTCACGCCGGCTGCTGGCCGCTCACACTGGCTTGCCAGCCACTCATGGTAGCTCACTGCAGCAGGGGCTGCATCCTACGCCATCACCGGCGACTCATAGCAGCCCAGCTCCAGGTCGAGCTGTTCACCATCTTAGCTGTAGAGGGCAATGTCACTGGCCCTCATGTGGGATCCGAACCGGGGCCCTGCTGCACAGAGCTGGCGTCCCAAGCCAGCTCTTAACCAACACGCCACTCAGCCAGCCCCTGTAGTCATTTTTAATATTACCAGTTCCTGTCCATTTATGGATTATCAAAATCAAATCACTTGTGGCAAAAAAAAATTACTTGCTAATTCTCCCTGCCATACAACATGTCTTGTCAACCTGCTCCCATCAACAGTGAGTATATTTCTGAGGCTACAAATACACTTTTATGCTAATCCAAGCAAAATAAAAATAAGGAGATAAACTGATGGTCAAAAATAATTTCACATCACAAGGAACTGATTTCTGAATTAAGTAATTTTAAGAAAAGTCTATGCACCGGTCTCTACCATTGGCATAAGCAGATGGTAACAATATATTAAGGATATACACAATATCAAAGGAAAATTCAACTCTAGCTATGAAGATACTTACTTGAGGCCTGTGTTGCTACAGTGCAGTCACCAAGCTGAGTTTTCAGTGGAGGCACGATGATGGTGCGGGTGCCAGTGCCATCTCCCACGACTCTACCAGGTCCCTCCAGAAGGGGTCCACTATTGCCCCGGAGAGCACTCAGGGTGTCGGTGGAATATGGGCTGCTCAAGGATGAGTCAGAGTCTGGGGAATCATTGACAGTGACGTAGCTGATGACGTTAGACCTTGCTTTCAGGCTAGAGCAGAGGAGAAGAAAATACATAGAAATTCAACCCCCTTCTAGCAATGTGTCTGACGGCCCCTGGTGCTCCTACAATAATGGTGATGATGACGACAACAGTCACAATAACAGCAGCAGCGAACTTATGAGTGCTCCTTCTGCATCAGGCACTAGTCTTACCCTCTACACACCTCATTTAATCCTCACGACACTTCTATGAAGTAGGTACTATTATCCGCATGTCCTCAGGAAACTGAGACAGAGAGAGATTAAGAGACTTGACCAAGGGCACACAAGAAATACATGGTGACAGGATTCACCCCAAAAAGGAATGACTCCAGAGCACACACCTCGAACAACTACTGCATGTTGCCTCTTAGCCATTCTCATTCAGTTACCAACAGTATTCTTCAAACACCGCATTTTACCCACATCACCCTCACAGACAATATTATAGCTAACAGTTCCTTAGTATAGCTAATCGAACTTCTCACAATATTTTTTTTTTAAGTTCCTTCACAAGCTGATCCCCACCTTACTAATTTTAGTTTTTCCTTATTTTTTAAATAAATAGGCTTGACTGTAGTCAAAACAACCCTGGTGGTTATAATTTCTGCCAACTACTAGGCTGCTTTTCCTTACTGCAAAATTTACTTTTCTTCTTCCCCAAATCAGCTCAATAATCACTTTCAAAACTTAGCTTCGAGTCTACTTACGCTTTGTAAATACCATTTTATAAATAGGCCTTTGAAGTACTTCCTTCTAAAATTACTCTTTCGAGGTCATTTACCTCCACTTATATGTGACTGTAAAGGAGTCCTCAGGTAAAAGCAGGCTTATTCCCACCCAGTTCCACGTGCCCAACACAACCCCTATGAAGAATACAGCCCAGCACAACCAGGGCAACCGACTACAGTAGGTTTACAATACGAGACGTGTGGATCACAATGCTTTTTATTCCTGATTGTATTTTTTATTTTCTTTTCTTTTTTTATTATATTAGTTTCAAGTGTACAAAACAACATAATGATTAGACATTTATACCCCTCACAAAATGATAACCCCCTCCAAGCTACTGCCCCTCTGACATCATATATAGCTGTTGCAATACCATTGATTATACTCCCTATGCTATACTTTACATCCTGTGTATCACAATTCTTAAACGTATCCACTCTGTCTTAGTTAAGTGTCCAGTTAAGGACTTGGACTAAGATGCCAGGATAAGAGGAAATAATCTGGTAGTTAAATTCTTAACCTTTCAGACCATATAGCAGAGGAGGAAAAAGAAGGTAGCCCTACTTACAGCTCTGCCTCTTCCAAAGGGGCCTTTTCAGATTAAGACATTATACAAGTTTCATTGCAACTAACTGCTACTTCTGTGCTTCTGTTACGTATGTTTTCAGATGCTACTGTTCCTTAAAGGCAGGGGATCATGTCTGTAGAACCACATGCACTCTGAGCCACAGCAGCCTGACACTTAACATACACGCTCCATCTTGTATGTCTGAAAGGCTGATTTAACTGATGAGCGTGTAGGGTATTACAGAGGACCTGACGATGCTCAGTTATGGAAACTCGAGTGTTTGGGCTCATTCATCCAAGGCCATGCTTTCAAAATACCTCTTTTTTGTCCTTCCTTTCGTAGCCAAAACTGGGCCACTTGCCTGAAGCCAAGAGCCCATAAGCCAAGGTTGGGACCTGCCAAGCAAGTGAGCCATTCAGCCATCTTACCTACTGGGCTTGTATTTGTTGTCCTCTTCCTCATCGGTGTCACTGCGGATAGTGATGACACTCACAGGAGGGCTGGGAGTATCAGGGATGACAATTGGCTGGTGCGGATCCTGCACAGGGCCGAGGGGGTTGTAAGACGTGGTACGGAGGGGGCTGCTCCCGACCAGGGAACAGCCTTGAGAAGGCAGAGCATCCAGGGAGGACCTGTAGGAAAAGGCCATGAGAAAGACTACTCAGTTCTTGGCCCCCAGAACTACACATCTTTTCCCAGAACTCTTTCCAATTTGCTCTTTGATTCTTTTTCACGTCATCATCAAGCCAATACACTTAACTATAAAAGTTCCAATAAAAACTAAAGTAACCACTCTACCAGGGTTTCCAGGGACAAGAACACCAAAATACAACATAAATTTCATTTCTGCATGCCCTTTACTCCAGTTAAATTTCACTCTTTAAGGTGGGCAGAAAACTAAAAACAGCATGAAGAAGGCCATGATTCAACGTGGCAGCAGAGAAAAGGGAGCAGCATAGCCAGAGCACACCTGGTGAGCACACCCAGATGGAAAGCGTGGCTCCCCTCCACACCTGCTGCTTCCTACCAAGACTGTCTGCATCACAGCCGGAAAACATCTCTCTCTAACTGGTCCGGTTTTAACCATCAGCTCTGACAGGGACTCACTTAGAAGAGACTGGAGCAGACTGCTTATTCTTCTTTGAAGGCAAGGAACTGGACTGCTGCTGTCTGACAACGTGGGCAACGCCAACATTCAGGGGCTGAGCCGTGGCCAACGTCACGTGGTTAGTGAGCAGGGATGGCTGCTGCATGATGGTGCTGTACTGGTTGCCATGAGAGTGGGCGTTCCTGTACCAACAGAAAGAAACAGACAAGAGTGAATGTCTAAAACCCTGGGAAATCAGGGCCAAATAGGTATGACAAGCACTTAAGACAACCATTTTGTTTGTTACGTAACACCTGGATTACATAACAAGGCTTTAGGTTTGCACTGCATGGTTTCTAATTGCATAAGACTCTTTAAATCGGAAGGAAATGATTCCTGAGCTTAGAACCTATTGTTTCCCCATATTCAAAACTTTCTTATAACTCCCATCTCCTAGCTTGATATGGGTTCTCTTCTTAAAGGATCTCAGACAGAGATAACCCTCTCCTTTCCTTCATTTTCTTCCCAGTCTCTCCAAATCATCCAGTGTGCCAACCCTGAGGAATCTGCCTTTGCAAATCTCCCAGAGCCAAACGAGCATGGGACACTTGCCTCCAGTCTGTGAGCTGCTGGCCACTGCCCAGGGCCTCTGGAATCACTGCTGTGGGCTGGACAGAGTTGTGGAGAGCTACCCCAGGCAACTGTTGCCAAGTTGAAGGCAGGAGAATTTGTTGGGTTCCTCCAGGCCAAGCCTGCTGTAAGGAAACACACAAAAAGATCCAGACTTGACTCATTCTTGACTTTTTTTTTTCCTTGGTTTTTTTTTTGTTGTTGTTGTTAGATGAAAGAAAAATTCATATCTTAAGAGAAGTTGCTTGTAGATTGTTAACTTGCAGAGATTAAAAAAGAAAGGTCAGAGGGGCTCAAGGTTACAAGTCTCATGATTAAGGGGGAAAAAACATTGCTTTGTCTTGGCCACCTCCACAACCTGACCGCCAGGGTGTTAAAGAACATCCCTGTGGTTAAGAGTTTCTACTATACTGTGAAGGAGTCTGCAAGTTCAAGGGTAAGCTCTGGTTTAACGCTGGAATATAATTTTTGCAAAGATTCTCAAAATTACCCTGAAAAGAGGTAAGACAGCTCCCTTGAGATTAAAAATAGGAATTTTAAAATTTGAGTGCCTATCAGATAAGATATCAGGTCAATCCAACCCACAAAACAAAGGGGAGAATTGTTCCTTTTTAAAGGGTAGTACTTGGAAAATGAAGACAGATGTGGATGACCAAAGGCCAAAAATCCTCTGGCAAACAAGCTTATGCCAGCAAGAGAATGCTAACTTCATCATTTATAGCCATTTAGCAGAATTTTAAAATAAGGCAATAAGTAAAATATTTATGAAATAGATGCAGAGAGCACCATATTTTGTTTTTAGCAGTTACCTAAAACATTGTTTTATGTATCATTTGTAGAAACACACTTCAACATAAAAACTAATCACTACAAGAAAATACATCGTTTCCAGTTTTTAACAAGCCACGGCACTTGCAATAGACAGCAACACATATGTTTTCTGTACGTCTTACAGAAATTCTAGCATTTTCTAAAAAAATGGGAACAGATTTGTAAGTTTCCTTTTTTAAATTTGACTTTGACAGTACAATCACCTACAGTGCTTGGGTACATATGGTTCTGTTTCTTGAATTTCAAACTGCAAGACCATCAAGACACTGTTTTAAAAATATTTCTGCAAGTAACAGATCCACTTGTTACAAATACTGGTTCCAAATAAGAAGCCTTCAAAGCAGAGAAACTGTAAACATGTCTGCTACCATACGCGGAATTTAAAACAAAACAAAACAGAACAAAAAAATAAGAAAAGTATGTTAAGTCACACCATGCGTCTTTCCATAAGCCAACACCTGCACAAGACAAAGCATGTAGTTTAATACAGAGCAATAAATAATAACATTCCAACGTGAGGCAGAAATCTGGCGTTCCAAGTGACGAAACTGTTTTGACAGAGGAAGAACAAAAATACGCAAAGCTTAGCAAGTGACTAGTGCAAACTTAAGAGAAGCAGCAAAGGAGATGTGTCAACTAACACTCCAACCTCAAAACTACAGGTAAGCAAATTAAAAGCAGTGGTTTGGATCAGCTGAATTGGAACTATATCTGACTTCCTTGCACTCGGGTGTTATGCTTATGATATAATTAACCTGGAGGTGATAATGACTTTTAAAATGAAAACCAAACAAATTCCAACAACCAAAGTACGTTTCTGGAAGTGTTTTCACTCACATGAGTCTGTGAGAAATAACGAAAGCAGTTGAAAGCCTCTTTCAAAGATGTGGAAATATCAGGAGTCAGTAGTATCAATTACGTTTTTAAATGCTAGCCTAATTTTAAATTTCAAAGAATGAAATGCTGGGTGTCCAGCAAACAATTCTAACTCCCCCAAATAAACCAAAAGCACTTCTAAAAATCACTCTTAAGGTAATGAATTCTGAAATATACCTCAAAGTCCTTTTTGTTTTTTCCTATCTCTGAGCCCAATGCTACATTTGCTGCTGTATTTGGTAACTTTTCCCATGACTTTTAGTAACAAATATTGTCTTTGCAAAAGTTTTTCAGCCATGTTTTCTCACCTTTGTATAAAGGACTATTTGTAAAATAATTAATCTCTCCATAAACCCCTAAAAATGAGTTCACCTTTCATTTTAACCAACCAATGAAACACAACCTAAAAGGATTCTAAAGGGAACATCTTTAAATGGAAGATATGAGCTGCCACTATCATGAGTGACAAAACAAGTATCTTCATGGGTTTTTAGAAGGAAAGCTGGTATCAACTGATGAAGCAGTAAATTTAGGGCATCTTAAACATTTCTACAGGCACAAAAGTTTTGAAAGCTTAAAACAGCAAATAAAGAAGGAAACTAACTTGCCAAGGAGTTCAAATTTTGGCCATCCGAGTACCTGTAGCAGAGCCAAACTAAAGGCCAATTCTTTCATTCTCAAGGATCAGAGGGCAAAAGACAGGGCAGAGAATGTAACAGTGTTGATGATCTTCTGAGGCTACACCGAGGGCTTTTATCCCACTAAGCTGGCAAAGAAGAAGCAAGGGGCCTGGCTCCTTATAGAGCCACACTGAACATCAGAGTCAAACAGAGCTTCGGCAAAGGTGGGGAGGAAAACAATGAGCCATTAAAGATGTAGCAATAACACAGCCACAAGATGGCACATGCTTCCATGCCCTCTGCAAAGACCAGGTCAGAAATTGGTTTTGAAAAAATGAGAAAACCAGAAGAAAACAGAACAAAAAAGAACGGGATAAAAGAAAAAAAGAAAGAAACCAAAGAAACTCTGTTAGTAACACAATCAAGTGAGGGCATTACCAGTACGGCGGCAGTCTGTTCAACCAGCGCCGGCCGGCCGGCTGCGCAGCTCAGAGTAAAGGGCACCGCATACTGCGGGGTGATGGTGGCTACTTGAGGGTGGAGAGTCGCTACCATTAGTGGTGTACAGCTTCCCTGAAACGTAGATGCAGCAGGTGAGTGAAACACACACGGAGGCAGGTTATCTGGATCAGAAGGCTTCGCATCCCCCCCAGGTTATTACCAACAGTAAGCAGTAATTTCTATCACCTAAAATGCACGTACCAAACACAGCTGTACACAGCATTGGCCTACTAGGTCAAATGTCAATGACCTAAAGCAAAAGTATGGGAAGCCTTCTTGGGCCCGATCCATATGGTCAGTTCTACAAAACTTAGTACACAAAGGCATATATTAAGAATTTCTATTCACAAATTAGGGGGTTGGGATTTCAGAATTTCCTTTGTGTCATGGGCCATAAACATTTACACTGAGAATAGAAAATATAACATTTGTTGCTTATATGAAGACTTTGTGATGTTCCTGACCTTCTCAGTCGCACGCTCCACTGCAGGTATAAAGTTTCAAAGCTTTCTACAATCTAATTAAACACAAGGAATAAAGGAATATAATACTTGAAGAGGCATCCTGATATGATCCAGCCCCTCAACTGTGACAAAATTCTGAAAGAGTAAGCAGACCAGACACTAGGGGAACCTTTTACTTTTAGAATCAAAATGTTGTTACGTGTGTGCTACACCTCTAAGAGCGCCAAGATAAAAAATTAACTTCGTCTCTTAAAATTAAATTTTCCCCAAGTCTGGATATTTCTCCCTGGAAGTTTTAGGAAGACACTGGCAGAGTTGCAACAGTGTCAGGAATGAGTGCATCATTCCATCGTAGGTGTTTCATTCTAAATCTAAGTCCACTGAATCGTGACCAAGAAAGATCTTACAGTCAAAAGCAAACACCATTTTCTAGGACAAAATATCTGATTTTGAATAGTGCTTCACCAGTGTTGGGTCTCTGAGTTGCTCAGGCTTTTACCTGCGTAAGAACCCCCGACTGGATCTGCAGTGGCTGAGCAGCTGGGGCCTGGGGTACAATTGGCACCGCATTATCCATCCTCACAGGGAATCCAGAGTGCTTTGTTGTTGCTTGCAGTCCAGCTGTAGAAAACAACAGCACAGCTAAATAAATGGCTTTGCTAGGTCTGGAGGTGTTTGTTTGGGCTCCTTTTGTTTGTTTTTAGCTTTTCTGTTCAAACCGTCTACCGTCAAGGTTTTAGTTCTAGACACTTATGACAAAGGAGCTTCACAGAAGTCTGGGGAGTTAAGAAAAGGGAGACATACATGGTCCCTCTAGGTTAATGAAAATATGTCCCAAACAGGGAGGGTTGATTTAAGGGAATTCTAAAGTATTTTTTATCCTACAAATCTTAAAACGCAACACCAACCGGATTCCCATTAACAGTATAGGCAAAAGCAAACAAAAACCTTCACTTAGTAAGTTACATCCAACTTTTGATCAACTTGGGGGAAAAGGTATTTTTAAAATGTAATCTATTAAAAAGCAAAGACTTAAATATAATTATAGGGCCAGCTGAGTGGCTCAGTTGGTTAAGAATTCGCTCAAGAGTGCGAGCTCTAAACAACCGGATCGCTGGTTTGATTCCCAGCCTGAGCTGAGCTGCCGCTGAGCTGCCAACAGGTGGCAGGATGGCTCAGCCAAAAAATAAAAAAATAAAAATAATTTTAATATAACTTTTGGTTAAATCAGGTAAGAAAATATTATTAAAAGCTCAATGCTTTATAATGTAAGTTACCCTTTTGTTTTTACTCTTTTAATGGGATGTTTTACCCTATCCCACAAAAAAAATTACCTAGTTCACAAAATAGTCATATTTTTCCTTTAACCAGTATGTGAATTGAAGAAATTATGCCTAGAATAAAAATATTTAAAAAGTAGACACGTTGGTTTACAGAAACACTTTTTTCTACTTATTTTAGAAATCTGCTCTGGTCATTGACAGCTTTCTAATAAGGCTCTTTTGTAGCTTGGACAGCTAGGAAAATCAAGAACTTTGTGCTGCCTTCAAAACAGTGACCCCGTCTCATTTATCTTTTTACTCATTATGCTCTGGGCACAAATCCTGAATAAATGTTTCCTACAAATAGGAATATCTCATTCTGGGAAAAGAGAGGCTCTCAAGATAGTTCTCCTTTTGCCAAGAATTGATAAGAGAGTGTTCTTTTAAACCTACCCTATCAAAACTTTCAACACAGAGTTGAAAGGCATAAAACTTCCTATTATGCCTGTAATTCACAAATGCCTTCAGTTTTGTTAAGTGGGAGCACAAACATTTTAATTAGATACTCCATCAGTGCCACTGCTTAAGCTATTACCACCTAATTTCTCTCAGTATTACTATGGAGGTATCAAATGCACACAACTCATATGTGACTAAGTATTAGATTGCTATGATAATTTAGGCTAAGCCACAGCAGCCAAGCTAGTTTAAAACTAGATTCTTCAGGGAATCCCAAGTGGAAAGAAAGAATTAATGAAAGGCAACACTTTTGGAAGGCTCTCCCCTGAACTAAGGATTAATGTTTTGTTTTGACTTTGTTGAACATACCCCTTTAAATAAAAAACCATGGGAGCGTGGAAAGAACAGTAAAACTGTCTAATTTCAGAGGGTCAATTTCTCCTCTACGTATAGGTATCTTGTAAAATACCAGATCATGAAAGAAAAATAGACAACATGGAAGAGAAGACTGTTGGGCGGAAACCAGCACATGGCTGTAGCTGGCAAAACAAATGACAAGCTCTTTACAGCTATTTGAGTTTAAACACTGCGAGATCATCCAGAATACTACTTCAAAATACATAAGCTATGAACCCCACTGCCTGGGTTCAAGTCGTGGTTCTACCATTCACTAGTATAAAGACTCTGGGCAGATGAGGGAATCACGATCAGTTGTCTCATCCATAAATTGGGCATCACAACATTACCCACTTCCTAAGGCTGTTTATAAGGATGAATCAGGACATGTAAAAGCACTCAGAACATTATCTGGCATGTAGTAAAATATACCAGCTTTCATCATTACCCTAATTTAAAAATTCCCTTTCACTTGGAAATTCTAAAATTTGCTCTACCTGGCTCCTCAGGTGATTTAGGCTTCTTAAATAGGAAAAAAATGGCCAGAGCTGATACTCACCTGACTATACCAAAACGGGTTATACTACTTTCCCTCTGTGCCTCTTCAGTTTACATTTTGTTTTGTTAAAGGAACTAATAAAAAGGTCTTCTGCCTCATCTCTTAAATATCATCTGAGAAGAAACAGAAAACTTTGGAGTCCCACATGTGAAAACTGTTTCAATTGAAACTCACTTTGGACAAGGTGAGGGGGTAGTAGAGTGGCTGTATGTTCAAGTCAGTAGAAGAATCACTCAACATGACAACCTGAAGTACAGCATTTACTATCATGCAGCACACACAGAAAAGCGTTTGGTAAACTGGGCTAATCTGCATTTACGGGTTTTGAATCTGCTCCTCCGCTCGCCCTGCGGCCTCGCCCTGCGGCCTCTCCCTGGTTTACAGCACTATGGCTCGCCTGTCCTCCTGGCAATCTCTCAGCCTCCCCTAACCCCTCTTTCCCTTCTGCTTGCTCCAACTCTGTCAGGAACCAAACAAACAAAAGGGTCACAGTCAATAAGTAACTGAAGTAAAGAGATTAAAAAAAGCTACCTGCTTCTGTGTAAAGTGTTATGAGAAGCCTGACTCCTCCTGGTTTATTCCCACAGGGCCCTGAGATTGACTTTCCACTAGGAAAGTCACAAATGTGTCGTCAGAAAATATCCCTGACATAATTTAACCTTTTAAATGGCTCACCAGATCAAAAAGCACACATTGCCCATATTTCAGAATTTAAAAAAAGTGAACAGACTAAATTATAGAATGATAAAATGGGGAAGGACGGGGATGTGAAAATTAAAATCTTATTGCGACACATGGGCTCAGAGCCACCCTCTTTGGCTATTCTGTCCCTGTTGACAGGAGTTTGTAGGAACAATGATTCATAATACGAAGTAGATCATCTTAACGCCTTCCCTACACAAGCACCTCAGCTTGTAGAATTTTTCAGTTCAATAAATAATAATCTTTATTTCTCATGTAACTTTAGAGGTTTCCACATTCTTAAACATGATTTTTACATTTTATAATAAAATCACCTTTTACTGGAAACATTATAAATTTATTTTATAATGGAATGATATAGGAAATAAGATTCAATATATAGCAGTTGTGTTTACAACAAATTTTTTCAAAATGTATATGTATAGTCTGCATAGTGGGGTACAAGTTTAAACAAGATACATGACATTGGTGCAAGATAACTGATATCAGGCAATTCAAATAAGGAAACATTAACTGAACTCTTGTAATGTGTCAGTTAGTATCATAATTAGATAAATAACCAATATAAAAAGAGTAAATCTACTTTGTTAATTTCAGTTATCTTCATAATCAGAGACAGAGTTTAAACTTGCCAAAGATCAAAACTATACAGCTAGATATCTAATAAGGATGTGCCTAGAGCAGGCAGGGCTGATATAGGATACAGGAGTTTCCCCACTTACTCTGAAAAGTAGGCGGACAGACTATAAATGTTTGTTGGAATGGATCTGTCTGAGTGCAAATCTGGGTGGTTCCAGGCTGCAAGGAGACGCCCTGTTGGGCAACTCCAGGGACTGGTGCTGCCGACGATGGGTACAAAGCCGACTGGTAGCTCAGCAGTGAGACATCTGAATTAGCCAGAGAAAGAGTAGCAGCTGCTGCAGTAGAACTGGAAGCTAAAACACTGGCCTAAAAACAAAAACAGTATAGTTGTATACTGGTACAGAGGTAACAATATTTTTACACACACAGAATCTATCCATCATAACTTAAAACAGTTTTAAAATGTAGTGCTGTCTTCAAAATAAGTCTGCTTAAGAAATTTTCCCAGTCTCTAGATTTAAGGCATATTACAAGGTTGAAGAAGAAAACAAAGAGTAAAAAATGGTCCTGTACTGGTTGAGGCTATATAAACCCCTACCTCTTCTTTCTGTGCAAAAAGTTGCTGAATGTGAGATTCCACCAAATCTCACTTGAAAAGTAGACCTAGCTAAAAAATTAGGAAGCTTACATCTTCAGAAACAAAGTTAAATCTAAATATCCCTGTTTAGCAAAGAAATACAAAACCAAAACCACTCTTCAAGTTAATTACTGGAAACCCCAACAGAACTCATAGAAACAGAAAGTAGATTGGTGGTTGCTAGGGGCAGAGAAGGTAGGGGAGAATGGGTGAAGGTGGTCAGAGGGTACAAACTTCTACTTGTAAGATGAATAAGTTCTAGGGTTAATGCACAGCATGTAAAAAAAAGTTATTGGAAACCCCCTTCAACAGACATAATGAGACATAAAAACCTTGACACTGAGAGTCATTTGTCCAACTAACAGCTGTAAGCAGTACAATAGCCAGGCTCCATTTGTGTGACTATGCTGAGGAGACTATGCAGGCATGGATTAGGCCTTTTCTATTTCATTTTAGTCAGCACATGACTGATAGGTATTACACATCTACTCTGTCTTCCATCGCTTTTGCCAAGTAGAAAATTCTTAAGAAGCAAAGACCACCAAAGCAAAGCCTGGTTTCTTTCCCACACCCTGCATTCTTCCTAGCTTCTATCCCTCCTACGTTTGACTTTCCAAAACCATTTCCTGAATACCTGATTGTGCACTGTATTGAGCTGGTTGCTGAAGCTCATGGTTAGATTCGTGCTTGTATTTGGGGCAACATGCGTGGTGAAGGGACTCTTGATCTGACTCACTGCATCATACATGTGAACCCTCCGCTTGCAGATCTCCATGTTCTGAAAACAAGACTTAACACTGAAAAAAGAGAGCAAAGGGTCAGTGAACTGAATGCTAAGATTTAAACAGAAAATAACTCAAGGTGAATACACACCAACGTTTTTCCCCTTGAGTACTTTCAGATAAAAATGAATCAAGAGTTTTTATAACTATGAAGAGGAAAAACACGTATCTAATTTTTAATTACATAATTTTTCAATGAGAAAGACAAGCATCAGTGAGCCAAATATGAAAGCCCCAAAGCTACTGCTCACATGATATTTCCATTTCTTTATCTAAAAGATGGTAACTTAACAGAGAACCACATCATGGTAAAATCCCAAACCGTATCATACTCACTGATTGCTATGTGGAAAATCCAGAAGGTGAGTCATTGTCACAAATTGATGGTTAAGAGTTTTCAGAGGAGTAATTCTTTTATCTGCATCAATTGTTAACATTTTTTTTAACAAATCAATGTATTCTCGTCGATCTGCCTTCTCTGCCAACATGTCTGTTCCTTCTAAGTCTGTGGACATATTCACCTTCCGAGGAAAAGTTAGAAATATTACACTTCATATTTTAACCTTAAATGCTGCCACTAAATATCTACTTTCTCTCCAAACCACACACACACACATACACACACACACGGTGCCAAAAAATGTATATACATTTTAAGAAAGGAAAAAAACTGTATTAAAATTGTAATACTCAAAATATACCAATAACAAAAGATGACAAGTCGTATGTACATATTTTTTTGGCACCCCCGGTATATATTGCTCAAGAGAAAAATCTAAGGAAATTCTTTTTATTACAGTGTAATCTTTTTCACAAGTGGAAGCTCTTCTTATGCTGTCTAATTAAAATCTTCAATTTGATAGTTTATTGGTAGAATAAAGCTGAACCAATTTCTGTTCATTCAAAATTTGAATCACACAAGTTAAGCAAAAGTGACTATTACTTAAATACAAAAGTTCCTATTGTTGAAAAGATTAAATGACGTAAGTATAAAGCATTTCAACAGAGTTTTGAATGTAATAAGCACTCAATAAATGTTGGCTCTTATGTAAGTATTTACTATATAAAATAGACAAGAAAGAAACCTTCATAAACAATATTTCAAAATACTGACATGTAACAAGACCAGTTTAGCAAAAGCAAGGAAGAAATATATAAAAGTACCCTGTGTTAGGATTCAAATGTTCTTTTAATAACACATGGCAGAATATTAATGTATTTTTTGCTGTAGAAAATAAAAACATATACTAAAAGATAACAGATTAAATCTATCTTTAATATAACCAACAGAAATGTATCTCTGAGTAAAGCGATACATAAATGTCTGGCATCCTGAAATTTCTATACTCACCTGAGCCATGTCATCTAAACAATTAAAAATGTACTTCCGAGCTTCTTTTGATTTGATTCCAGTCTCCAATTCATGTTCTTCAGGTGTCTATAAAATATAGATTTAAAAATAAATTCCATCTGTATATTACTTTCACATTTTATTCTTACTAAAGACAGAATACAAAGCAAAAAGTGTCATCACCTTGCCAACCAGAGATGGCAAATATGAAAGTAAGTTACAACTAGAAAACCTTCCGGTGGACAGACGTGACCTTGATATCCAGCCACTCTTTCAACAGTGATAAAATAAACGTGTAAGCAATGATGAAGCATGTCAGGTTAGAAGGGATATTACCATTCTTCTCTTAAAGATACCTTCAAATGAGATGATATTTCAAATGCTAACTATGCAAAAGCTCAGAGGCAGACTCACAAGAGTTAATCAAATTATTCAGAGACCCCAAGTTAAAGGAATAGGCTCGGAAGTAAAAAGTAGACACTTCTTTAAAGAAAAATGTAAGGCCTTAATATGGGCATTTAGAAAATTATGTTGTTTTGTCATATTTATTAAGAATTCTCTAAAAAAATAGCCATTGCTAAATTACTCTAGTTTTCTTATGGCTTAATGGTGACAACCACTCTCCAAATCCCCTTCTCAGCTGCTGATTCAAATATACAAAATAACCTCAGCCAATGGAACTGGCATCTAAAGTTTTGTTTTTTAACTAAGGATAAGGCCAAATAGGTACAATGAAATAATTTTACAAAGTACATATTTCCTCCTGCAAACATACATTCACCCCCAGCCCCTTCCCCCTCCTCCACTTCAAGATAATAACAAATTTTAAATTTAAAGTTGGGAGTGAGGCGTACAGGAATGGGTACTATAGTAGGAGAGACTGACCTTAAGCCTCCACAGTGGGTACCCCAAGTTAGGATCTCTGTTGAAAAACCTGGTTGTTTTTGTCCCGGCACTGAGGAGATATTCAGCTGGCAGGCCTTGTGTTTGGGAAATGTAACGAATCTGAAACATCAAAACCATCAAAACACAGATATGAAATAAAAAGGGAAATTATTAAAAACTTTTACACTAAAATATTAGCTCTAGCCAAAACATAAAAGTACTGCAAAGAAATAAACTCTTTGATAAATACAAATGAAATTTATCTATAAATACATATGTATATATACTAACCCACTAACAGGTAATTCCCAAATACTTATTTAGTAGCTTCCTCATTACTATACCTGTTATTTACAAGGAAAACTCAGTGTTGAAAATTTTGTGTGTAACCTCTTTTGCTTTTTTGTAGACTTCTGATACAAAGTTCAGAAAACTTCAGGAAATTTCTAAGACACAACAGAATGGCAACAAACTCTATTTCATGGATTGCCCAGATTTTTTTTGTCTTGTTTTTGATACATTATCAAATTAAAAAGATTAGGAAAAAATTTCTATTAACCTCTTTCGTCCTTGGCTACTCTAGCTCCTGTCAATTGCCCCTACTCTAAATCGCCACAGAGCTTCTCTCTCAGACCATAAAATCAAGCACTTAATTTAGCTTCTCTATGCCAACATCAGTACAGGTACTATTTCATTCATTCAACATTTATTGAACACCTACTACATACGAACTAGACCAGCAGTTTTCAAATGTGGTCTGGGGACATGTGGGGCTCCCCAAGATACTTTCAGGGGGTCTGTGAAGTAAAAACTATTTTCATAATAATGCTAAGAAGTTATTTGCCTTTTTCATTCTTTTCTGATGGGTGTACAATAGAGATTTCCAGAGGTGATGTGTGATGATGTCACTGCCCTGATGGTTAATGAAATGTGTGCTTGAATATACTTGTGTTTTAAAAATTTCCCAGTCTAACTGTTCACACTTCTGTTTGCTCCCACAATTCTCCCAATCCAGGAAAGCAACAGAAGAGGGGACTGGCTTCTCTCCCCACTACTGAAAACAATACAAGAAGCAATTGTTTTACTACCCCATCTCCATATATGAATATGTCTATATTTAAGAAAATATTAGAGAGAAATTGTAAGCAAGGAAATAAATCTTACTTCTCACCTCTCCCCCACAAAATCTTCAGTTTTAATTTCTAATGCAGTATATATTATTAATAATAGATATTATCTATATAAATAGAGCTCTTTAGGGTCTTCAGCAATTTTTTAAGAATGTAAAGCAGAGGTCAGCCAACTACGGCCTACAGGCCAAATCTAGAATGCTATCACAAAACAAGTTTAGACAACAGCAGGGTATTACTCCAAATCTATCTATGGGAGCTACATAACTGAAAATCAAAGTACAGTATTAGCAAAATAGAAAACTTTTTTTTAACGTGGATAAAAACACTTTAAATGTGAACTTCTTTTGCACATAAAAAAGGTGAAATCTTTTTTTTTTAATCCAGGATAAAAATCTGTACAATGAAATACTATGCATTGAAAAGAATAGGGTAGAAGTGCATTAACATGTAAAGCTATTTCAGAATGTAGTAAGTAGAAAAAGCAGATTACAAATTAAATATAATCTCACTTATTTTTTTTTAATTACTACATTTCACTGGTTTTAAGAGACATGTTTTTAAAATTAACATCTTTGAAATCAGGATATGTCTTAAAACTGGTAGCTATCATAGTTTAATTGGCAGTATTTTTTCTTAGAGGTACAGAAAAGTGGTACATCTTTCAATCAATGGTGTCTTAGATTTGATGAAATACAGTATATATGTTCCTCTATATCCACATATTTGTATTTGAAACATAACTATATATAGCATATACTCATTCATTTTTTCACTATTTACTGCGTTAGGCAGTGGTGATTTTAAATACAGACATGGTTCCTGCTCTCACAGACCTTGCAGTCTAGTGAGGAAGACAGACACTGAACACATAATTCAAACCAAATTGGCATTCTGAAGAAAATAAACAGGCTTCTATAAAACACATTAAGAAACCCTGACCTAGACCGGGGACTGGTGAGAAGAAGCTCCTTGAAAAGTGAACCTTGAGCTGATAAATGAGTAGCACTGACTAAATGAAATGAATGGGTGGTGGAGAAGCATTCCAGACTATGAGAACAGTACGTGCAAGGGCTTGTGCTGGAAGTTAGCATACTCTTAACCAGTGCTGAAATGATGCCGATAGGACTAGAGTTTAAAAAAAAAAAAAGTGGCATAAGATCAATCTAGAGAGGGAGAAAGGAAGGGGCAGAAAAACCCACGTGGGGGCTCAGAGGGCATATTAAGGATTTAGCCCTTTATTCTAAAAATTATGGGAGATCACTGACGAGCAGGGGAGTGGCGTGGTCAACTTTGTGTTTTGAAAAACATCATTCTAGAAAAAAGACTGGAGGGAACTCGGAGTAGATAAAGGGAGATTTTCTAGTAGCCCAGGTGAGTGATAAAGACAGCCTAGACTAAAGTAGTAGTAGCAATAGAAAAAAATAAGTATAATCAAGAGGCATTAGGACATAAATGGCCAGGAGATACATATCTACATGTGTGCGTGCTTGTGTGTGCACGCGTGCACATACTCACACACACACACACACACACACAGCAAACTACATTTATTCTTCACAGAATTTACCTCAACTGTATTATATAATTATTTGTATGATTATTTACTTAATGTCTCTGTCCCATCACCAAACTATAGCCTCCCTGAAGGAAAGAACAATGTTTTATTCAGCACTGTATCCCCAGTGCCCACAGTACCTGACACACATGATAAAAATTAACAATATATAACTACAAAAAATACCTAAACATAACAGGTTACCTCTGAGGGGCCAAGCTATTGAAAGTTGAAATTTTTGTCTCCTGGCTTATTGCATCTTTTCTAATTTTTCTACAATGATGCACTCATGGCATTAAAACATTTAAAAGTTTTAATATGATAGAATGAAAAAGTTTCATTGTGAGGGTAGAATAGGAAACCATTATCCAGATACTGCTTTTCATATAGCTTAAAGTAAAGCAACAACAAAAGCCAGACATTTATGCAAACAAAAAGTATTGTCATTTGTTATTTTAAACAATTCTAATGTTCCCAACAAACTGAAGCCACTAACTAATATCTACAGAGGTTACACACATTTGACTTCAAGACTCACAAACATCTCTATAAAACCTCAGCTATAGCATCTATGCAAAATCCACAGCTGATATCATACTTAATAGTGAAAGACTGAATGCCTTCCCCCAAAACAGTCACAAGAAAAGGATGTCCACTCGTTATTTCTATTCAACACTGTACTAGAGTTTCAAAGCAAAGTAATTATGCAATGTTTAAAAAGAATGCAAAAGGAAGATATAAAACCATATTAGTAGGTGACACGATCTTGTAGTTAGAAAATCATAAGGAATCCACACACAAAAAAAACTATTAGAACTAGAGTCTTTCTAGAAAACTATTAGAAAAAGAGTTTGACAAGGTTGCAGAATACAAGATCAATTACAAAACGAACTGTATTTTTCTATGCACTAGCAATGAACAATCTGAAAATGAAATTAATAATTCCATGCATATGGCATCAAAAAGAATAGAATTCTTAAAAATAAATTTAATAAAAGAAGTGTAAAACTTGTACTCTGAAAATTATAAAATATTGCTAAAGGAAACCTAAACAAATGTTTATTGATCAAAAAAAATCAATATTGTTATGACAGCAACACTTCCCAAAGCAATCTACAGGTTCAATGTAATCCCTATTTTTAAAAAAATGACTTTATTGGCAAAAACAGAAAATCCACCCTAAAATTCATATGGAATCTCAAGGAACCCTGAATAGCCAAAAACAATCTTAAAAAAGAACAAAGTTAGAGGACTCACACTACCTGATTTTAAAACAAACTACGAAGCTATAGTAATCAAAACAGTGTGGTAACGGTATACGGATATAGGATACAAATCAATGGATCAGAATTGACAGTCCAGAAATAAATCATTATATTTATGGTCAACTGATTTTTGACAAGGATGCCAAGACAATTCAATGGGAAAAGAACAGTCTTTTGGCAAATGGTGCTGGGAAAACTGAATATAGCCACAAGCAAAAGTATAAAATTGGATCCTTACCTCACACCGTATTAAAAAATTAAAATGGCTCAAAAACCTAAATGTAAAAGCTAAAACTAAAACTAAACCTCTTAGAAGAAAACACAGGTGAAAAGCTTCATGACATTGGATTTGGCAATGATTTCTTAGATATGACACCAAAAGTACAGGCAACAAAAGAAAAACCAGACTAACTGGTCTTCATCAAAATTAAAAACTTTTGTGCATTAAAGGGCATGATCAACAGAGTAAAAAGGCAACCCACAGAATGGGAGAAAGTATTTGCAAATCATGTAGCTTGATAAGGGGTTAATACCCAGAATACATAAAGAACTCCTACAACTCAACAATGACAACAAAAAGCCTAATTCAAAAATGGGCGATGGACTTGACTAGACTTCTCCAAAGAAGATATACAGATCTCTAATAGGCATATAACAACACCACTAATCATTAGGAAAATCAAAACCATAATGAGATATCATTTCACATCCAACAAAAAAAGACAGAAAATAACCAGTGTTGGCAAGAAGTGGAGAAATTTGAACTCTTGTGCATTGCTGGTAGGAATATAAAATGGTGAACCACTGAGGAAAACAGTTTGGTGGTTCCTCAGAAAGTTAAACATAGAATTACCATATGACCCAGCAATTCTATATCTAGCTATATATGTCCCCAAAAAATTGAAAACAGGGACTTAAACATGTGTACATCAATGCTCTCACAGCACCCTTATTCACAATAGCCAAACTGTGAAAACACCCAAGTGTCCATTAACAGATGAATGGATAAACAAAATGTGGCGTGCGCGCGCACACGCACACACACGCGCGCGCACACGCGCACACACACACACACACACACACACACACAGGAATATTATTCAGCCATAAAAAGGAATGAAGCTATGATATGTGCTACAGCCCACATTAAAAACATGCTAAGTAAAAGAAGCCTGTCAGAAAACCCCACATTTGTATGTGATGAATATGATATATTAGAATAGTCAAATCTACAGAGACAGAAAGTAGATTAATGGTTGTCTAGGCAGGGATTAGGGGAGAGTGACGATTCACTGCTAATAGATATGGGGTTTCTTTTAGGAGTGATGAAAATGTTCTAAAACTGATTGTGGTAATGGTTCACACCCTGTAAACATGCTAAAAAAAACACTGAATTGTATACTTTAAATGGCTGAATTATTTGGTATGTGAGTTATATCTCAATAAAGTTATTTTAATAAAAAAAAAGCATCTGTAAGAATAAGGATACTACCATAGGAATCTTTCTGTATAACCAGAGATGTTTCAAGATGAACTAGCCCCAATCCTGCCCTATGACGACAGCAGCATCCTATTTTTTTAGCATGAGAAAAACAACTTCCTCCTACCACCCATATTCACATCTATATACCACACAAAACTTCTCAAAACTACCAAATCATTTCTTTACAAGGAAAGCCTCAGCTGTACCTTAGCTTCTAAATCTAATTTTACTTGGTTTCACTTACTAGGAAAATTTACAATACCAATCTGCTTACTAAGGTTGAAGAGATGCCACATAACACTTGGGCTAGGAAAGGCACTTTGGAGGATGTAATTGCTCAGGTTTCTTACTCAGGGGTCCATGAAGCCCCTGAATTTGTACACAAAACATTGTGAATAAGCATATTTTTCTGAAAAGACCCATAGCTTCATCAGGTTCTGAAAAGGGTTTAAGACCCAAAAAAGGAGGATCAATGGTTTGGCTCGACCCACTGTGGTTTTGCATCATTCAATCTCCCTCACATATCTTTGTTGTTGTTACAAAATAAGGAAGCTGGCTTGCTTCTGACAGGCAGAAGAAAGACTTAAAAATTACAAAGCACCATGTAACTGGTTCTTTGTGACATGAACAACTAACTCATTTTTTATGTTTCACTCAAAGACATGTCCAAAGAGTCGAATTTTGGGGAGTTGGTAAACGTTACATCTACTCTAAAATAGATCGAGGAGACAAAATTCTAGGCTGAATAGGGAAGAACATTGTTTTGCTCTTTTTTCCCTTTAATAATTCCAAATAACCACTTACAGTGTGTATTTCTTAAAAAAATAAGTAAGCCAAACCTCTTGAACCTACTACATGCCAGACAATGTCAGGAGTTGAGGATACACTGGTGAATAAAACAGTCTCTGCCTTCAAAGAGCTTACAACACAGTGGTTAGACCAATTTTTTAAAAAGAATTAAAAAATGAGAATTTGCAATTTATTTCCATGGCAAAGCTTTTCCCCTCAGGAACAGCTCCTTAGAAAATTGTAGCATATCTTCTAAAGCTTGTCTGTTTTGAGACATACATCATGTATTACAATACTTTTCAACTCATAGGATTTCCCCCTAAATCCAATTTTGCAGAGGCCCAATATACATCATAGTTTCTGGGGCCCAGTGTGTTTCAGCAGGCATAGGGCGCTGACTTCAGTATGTGTCACGTATTGTAGGAAAAGAAGTAACAGATGTGAATGAGCCAAAATTCACTCAAAATCCCAATTCCTGATCCCTACTTACGTTCATATCTTAACTCACAAGACACATTAGTTAACCAAAGTTAATATTCTGATAAATTATTACATATCTGGGAAAGTACCAATCTAAAGTAATATAAAATAAAATCCTTTTTTAAATGTAGAATTGCAAGCATAACTGAAAACCAAGAATTCTATTCTTTAAAAAACTCCTTTTAATTGGACTATGCTTTCCCTACTCTCTAAATACTTCACTAGCACTTCTCTCCCTCTAGAATCTATTTCACTGGTACCCACTCACTTTCTATTCTCATGTAATAATAAATGCTTACCTGATCATATTCTGAAGCACCGGGATACAGAGGCCATCCCAAGAAGAGCTCAGCTATCACACAGCCCAGTGACCACATATCGATAGCTTCACAAAATGGTAATCCAAGAATAATTTCAGGGGCTCTAGCCAAAACAAACATAGCAGATTAGAAAAATACACATTATTTGGGGAAATGACCTATGTTGACTTAAGTCCTATTTTAGTGTCAGCTAAAGGTACACTGGTTTAATGAAACTGAAAATGATCTTTGGTATAAAATCCGTCATTAGAAACTCTTGGGGCCAGATGTGTTTTGGAATTCAGAATTTTTTTGAATTTCATACTACCAGGCATAACAATCCCAAACCAGTTTAGGGAAGCACCCATAATCAAACACATTAATATTTCTGCAATAGAACATACGAGCAGTCCTACTAAGTCAGCTAAATGCTTACATAACCCTACATTGGTTCAAGTCAGGTTTTGCCAATAAATGAGTTTGTACCAAACGTAAAAAAAGATCTTTAGTTTTGAGTTTTCTAAATTTTGAAATCGCAGGTAAGGCATCGTAGATTTACTCTTGTACTTTTTTAATTATGAAAAAAACCAATTAAATAGCCTGGTCAATACATACCCCTTTGTGACCGAAATATACCCACTGTACAGACATAGTGGTTGACAGCGGGACTCTATAGCCAGCCTATCGGGGTTCAAATCCTAGGTTCCACTATTTAACAGCTGTAGGCAATTACTTAATCTCTCTGTGCCTCTAGGTCTTCATTCATAAAATGAACATAAGAGTACCTACTATATAGAGTGTTTTAAGGTTTAAATAAGTAATTAACAATCATAATAAATGTTTAAATATTAAAGCTCTTGATCAGTGCCTGGCACATGGTAAGCACTGTGTAAGTGTTAGATATAACAATAACTATTATTATTATATTATCATTATTTTAAAACTTTGAATTCTTCATTTGTTTTTAGAAATATTTATTTCTAGGGCCAGCCGAGTGGCACGTTGGTTAGGAGTTGGCTTGGGACGCCAGCTCTGAGCATCAGGGCCTCAGTTCGGAACTCACATGAGGGCCAGTGATTCTGCACCCTCTACAGCTAAGATGGTGAACAACAGCTCGACCTGGAGCTGGGCTGCCATGAGTCGCTGGCAGCGGCATAGGCTGCAGTGGGGCTGGCCGGCAGTGGGTGTGAGCTTTCATGAGCTGCCGTGAGCTGCCATAAGTGGTCATCCAATGGCCGGTGAGTGAGTGCCTCACTCGGGAAGAGCACAATGATAATACCAACATGGGCCAGTGAAGCGACGTCCTCCACAACTAGACTGAAGAACAACAGAATAGCAACTTGTCTGTTCCCTTCCCCGATTCCCCAACGCTGTTCCCTTCCCCAACTCCCCAATTAAATCTTTAAAAATATATATATATTTATTTCTATTGATGCTCCAAGTGAGAAACCTAACCCTAGGGAGCCTTGAGGAGAAGACTAAGGTAATCCCAGAAACTCAGTGCATTTATACATATACAAACATGTCCAAGGCAAAACTGTTACCCCCATTTACAGAAGAGGATACCAAGGCAAACAGATTAATTTGCCCCAAATCACAGTTAGTATGTGGCAGAGCTAGAATCTGAATCCTGGTGGTCTGGCTCTGGAGTTGTTACACCCATTTGTACCAATCTATTTGGCTTGGTGGAACACAGGGCATTTGTCAAACCTACTAAAATTAAGAGATACATGGGTTCAGAAAGAAAATTATAATAATAGGTAATATTAATATCGATAATACTAATAGATTATCCATAGTGCTTATTATGTGCCATGCACTATTCCAAGTTCTTTATAAATGTAGTCAATCTTTACAACAACTCAATGAAAGTAGGTATTATTACTGTTAAGTCATCAATTCTACGATGGGCATTTTTTTACATTTTAACATCTCTGAAATTAAAAAGATTCTTGCAAATGATGGTATGTTTTAGTTTCAGGGCAGTGCTTTTACTTTCTCATTGGTACATAAATAATGTTTCACTTAGATTCAATATTCTGTGTAACAAAGTATCATTTCCATTTGACAGGTGAGGAAACTGGGCACTGAGAGGTTAAGTAGCTTGTCCAAGGCCACACAACTACTAAATGGTGAAGCCCAGGCAGTTCTGATCCAAGGTCTGAGCTCTTCAACACTTTCATCATCTTCTCCAAATAATCTCCTTTCCTTTTCCAAGTCACAGAACTGGAATGTGCCAGGACACTCAGGTCCCTCATGTAACAGGAGATGATGGGAAAGCAGATGTCTTCATTAGGAACCATCTAATGGGCCAGGTCTCTTCGTGGAGTGCCTAGGTTTCCCAAACTTCACTTTCATGTGATGCATGCTTTGTGGGGAGGTGGGGAGGTGTGGAGGGAGCAAAGACTGAGTGGGGGATACTTAGATATTTGCCTAAATAAGACTATCCTCTCCAAGTAATTTTCTAAGTAAGTTGCCCTTAAAAAACAGAGTAAATTAGAGGACTCCATAGGGTCTTTCTAGATCTCCCCTGATCCTTGCATAGAAGATCCAGGCCTGTTGAGATTTACACTATGTAACAGCTATAGGTAGAACCACCAATAGTTTTTGTCCAATTCAATGTGAGCTGCAGTTTTGTTAGCCAAAGAAATAACCTTCCAAAGTGATATTCCTGTTGCAGGTGGCTAGAGCCACACTACTGATACAGTTTCCGAGTTCAATTAAATCCCGCCCACTGTGGCGTGTTTCCAAGGCAGCCCAAGTTTGACAGCATTAATAAACTTGAGGCTAACAGGACTCTGGAACATAAAAGCTTTTTTAAAATTGAAAAGGAACACACTTTTTACTTTCTGTGAGCAGAATCATTAATTTCCAAGTTCATGACAGTGCCAAAAATAGCTGGCAGGGAGAATGCAAATGGCTTTGTGCCAAAATAAAAACTGGACTTAGAACATTCCTAAGCATCAACTGAAGAGCAGTGGGTTGATTCTACCATCCCCACTCTACCAAGAAGATTTTTTAAAACCCAAAAGGCAGGTCATAGAGAGAGGCCAGACACCTCATAACTACCTTCTTTAAAAAGGTAACAATAAAAAAATAAATAAAAATAAAAGGTATCAATAGTATGTGACAATTATGAGGCTTCTAAAACTTAAAAGTTTCAGAGAAATTAAGAAAAACACTAAATCCAGCTCCCAAACCCCATTAAACAAAAAACTCCTAAAGATTGGCTGAAATCAGTTTTTCCATCTGGTCTCACCCTGTTTCTAGAGTAACAAAAGCAATGAAGGATTTCCAACAAAAGCTCACTCAAAACAGCAACTCTACCACATCTACCATACAAAAAGATATCAAAAGAAAAAAAATGAAAGCAGTAAAAATAAAATAAGGCTGCTCAGTCTACTGAGGGATTTTCACTATCGCTGCAGCCTAGAAATGTTACTTACCTAAACTTTAGGAAGCGAAAAGGCTATGAGTTATTTTCTTTTACTGAACAGAAAGGAATCATTTATAAAGAGCATGTTCATCTTGAAAGACTGAATGTTTTAAACTTTAAGTTCAGATTATAATTCTTGGTAATATCTTCATTACTGTATCATCTCTCCCCTTGGTCTCCATTATTTCTCAATCCCTCAATATACACTCTAGATACAGAAATTCTGGTTCTACTCATCTGTATAATAAGGAGGCTGAGGTAGGTAATTACTCTCCTAGGTCCCTTTCCAGCTCTGACATTCTAACAGCTGGGTCGTAAAAAAAGATTACCTATTAAAGCACAGCAAAAAGGGAAACGAAAAAAAAAAAAAACTGGCAGTATTCACTTTAGGAAAATGGCATTAATTGTACTTTGGACAAGGTGGTCTCTCTTAGAAAATACATCCCATCCTTAAAGAACAAATACTAAACAAGCTCTAATGACTATAACCAGATGGTAGAAATAGCAACAACCCCTGCATACTGATTTCCCAACTTCAAATTTCTTTAAATTGGAGAATTCCTCTAAGATCCTAAAGCTTTATTTCACTGCAACCCAGAGCACACTGAGGTTAGAGTCACTCAACAGCACCAGCCATTCTCCGCTCATTGTCATGAACACACTTGTTTCTTCCTGCCCCTCTCAGAGGCATCAAACTTACCAGATCAGAGATATTACACACAATCAAACTTCCTGCATCTGTGACTTACGTGAAACTGTAGTTTCACTGTCGAATGAAACTGGATTGTTTATCTAGGAAAAAGTGAAAATAAGCTTTCCTTCTCTAGACCTTCCTTCCATACATAACAAAGTGATCTCAGCTTTAAATAAAGGCCAGATAGTTTGGTCAGAATGTTAAAGCACTGAGCTTATAAGCATGGCAAACATTTGTACCTAAAACTCAAGCCCCAAAGACAACAACTTCTCTTGGAATTAGTCTACATTTACACTTACGGTGGGCAAGGAAATAAAGTATATTTCCATGCCCTGAGTCATTTAGCCATGCCCATGGCCAACAGAGATGTAGTGTGATGGCAAAAATGTATGTTAACTGATAATATGTTGGCATGTTATCAGCACGATGAAGCAATGTAAACCAAACAGAAGGGTAAGAGAAAGGCAGCCTTGGAGCCAGAATGCCTCACTGACCAAAGGAATTTCACAGAGATTTTCTGAGAGACAAGAAGGTGAGCACTTAATGGACTCCAATAAGGATACAAAGCAACACGAAGACATTGTGCATAAAGCTAATGATAAAAAAGGAATGCCTGAGCTGCTAGTCCATTCGCCTTAGGCTAAGTATTGAGTATTACTATGACACAACAGAACACTCACGTTAAATCCTAAATGGAGCCCACCCCTGGACATTGAACTTCAGTATGCACAGCAATTACTCAGTAACACACAGAACGACCTCCTGTTTTTAAGGGGTAAACTGAGCTCCATATAAAATTACTCATATGATGGGAGGCCAGTCAAGTGGCTCAGTTGGTTAAGAGCACGAGCTCTGAGCAACAGGGTCGCCAGTTCGATTTCCACATGGGCCAATGAGCTGCGCCCAAGCTGAGCTGCCCCTGAGCTGCCAACAGGTGGCAGGATGGCTCAGCTGGTGAGAGCACGTGCTCCTAACAAGAAGGTTGCTATTTTGACTCCTGCATGGGATGGTGGGCTACACCCACCCACAACTAAGATTGAACACCACGGCACCTTGAGCTGACTTGCTCTGAGCTGCCAACAGAGGGCTGGATGGCTCAGTGGTTAGAGCGTGCACTCTTATCAACAAGGTTTCCAGTTTGACTCCCACATGGGATGGTGGGCTACGCCCATCCGCAACTAAGATTGAACATGGGACCTTGAGCTGAGCAGCCGCGAACTGCTGACAGGTGGCCGGATGCTGACTAGACTTGGAGCTGAGCTAGCTGCAACCTCCACAACTAAGATTGAAGGACAACAACTTGGCTGTTCCCCTTCCCCAATTCCCCAACACTGTTCCCCTTTCCCAATTCCCCAATAAAATCTTTAAAAAAATTTAAAAATAAATAAAAGTATTCATGTGGTGAACAAAAGGGATTTACAGGACTTTGTTGAAGAGTCTTAATTTACCAGTGGGCTTAAAAATTTGATATTGTCTATAAAAACAAAACAGAACCAAATTACTCAAATGACAGCTTAAATTAAAAGGATAAGGAAAGGGGCCGGCCGAGTGGCGCGATGGTTAAGAACTCGCTTGGGACGCCAGAGGGCCCCGGTTCAGATCCCACATATGAGGGCCAGTGACACTGCCCTCCACAGCTAAGATGCTGAACAACAGCTCAACCTGGAGCTGGGCTGCCGGGAGTCGCCGGCGACGGCATAGGCTGCAGCCCCTGTGGCAGTGGGTTGCCATGGGCTACCGTGTGTAGCCAGCAGCCAGCGTGAGCGGCCAGCAGCTGCAGTGAGCGGCCGTCCAGAAGCCGGCGACTGATCTGCCTCGCCCAGGAAAAGCGCAATGATGGTGCCAACTTGGGCCAGTGAAGCAACGTCCTCCACAACTAGACTGAAGAACAAAAGGACAGCAACTTGTCTGTTCCCCTTCCCCCAATTCCCCAATAAAAATCTTTAAAAAAAAAAGGATAAGGAAAGGGGGAAAGATCAGCAACCTAACACTGAAAATTATTCAAATTTCATATTGGAGAAAGCTAAGTGGCCAGAACCATTTATCCCTCAAATCTCCTTTACTCTTTAAGGGAAAATTCCATCAAAACTGATTTCATGAGTAATTCTTAATCTTCATTGCTTCAGTTACCACAAGAGAATGCGACTTGGTCTTTAACAGGGCAGACAAACACTTGGAGAACACCTGCAGGAGCTGTCTAGAGAAAAGATCAGGGAGCCAGAGCTGATCAGCCCTCATCCCTCAGCTGTGCTCTCCTTACTTCCCCAGTGCTCAAAACGAGATGCAGAACTGAACCCTCAGTGCGCCTGTAAAATGTGCTGGGTATATGTGTGTATATATGTGCAGGTGGTGGTGGGTTGCTTAAAGGAGAACATTAGTAGCAAAAGTAACTGGAACCCAACTCTTCCAAGTCATGAATAAATAAATGGAGATGAGATTCCCAAAATTAGTCAAGTTGCCTAGAGCAGCATGAAACCAGAAACCAAAGGCTCTAGGAATTTCTTTACTCCATCTCACTCAAGTAAGAAATATCACAGTTTTATAAAACTATAAAAGGAAAAGATACAAAATAGCTGAGGGTTGACTGGAAGACAATGTTGTTAGGACAGTAATACTAACAGAAGGGATTTCCAGATTCAGTGCATTGCCTATCAAACACCAATGAGGCTTTTGCAGAAAAAGAAAAACCCATCCTAAAGTTCATATGGAATCTCAAGGGACTCTTTGAGATAGCCAAAACAATCTTGAAAGAAAATAAACCTGGAGGTCTCACACTTCCTGATTTCAAAAGTTACTACAAAGCTACAGGTAATCAAAACAATGTGGTACTAACATAAAAACAGACCTACAGATCAATGGAATAGAATGCAGAGCCCATGAATAAACCCTCATATATATGGTCAAAGGGTTTTTGACAAGCATGTCAAGACCATTCAATGGAGAAAGGATAGTCTCTTTAGCAAATGGTGCTGGGAAAGTCAAATACCTACAGGAGAATACCCTTACCTTACACCATATACAAAAATTATATCAAAATGGAACAAAGACCTAAGTGTAAGAGCTAAAACTATAAAACATTTAGTAGAAAACACAGAGGAAAAGCTTCATGACATTGGTTTGGCAACGATTTCTTGGATATGACACCAAAAGCAGAAGCAACAAAAAGAAAAAAACAAACTGGACTTCATCAGAATTAAAAGTTTTGTGCAAACAACAGAGTGAAAACTCTAACTCCATTGAATGGGAGAAAACAGTTGCAAATCATATATCTGATAAGGGATTAATACCCAGAATATATAAAGAACTCCTACAACTTAACAAAGAAAAAACCCAATTCAAAAATGGACAAAGGACTTAACAGGCATTTTCCAAAGAGGATAAACAGATGGCCAACAAGCACATGAAAAGATGCTCAACATCACTAATCATTAGGGAAATGGGGGGGAAAAAAAAAAAGAGGTATCATTTCACAAACATTAGGATGGCTATTATCCAAAAAAACAAAAACAAAAATAACCCCCAGAAAATAGCAAATGTTAGCAAGGATGTGGAAAGATGAGAAACCTCATGCATTGCTGGTGGGAATATAAAACAGTGCAGCAGCTATGGAAAACAGTTTGGTGGTTCCTCAAAAAGTAAAACATAGAATTACCATATGACCAGCAATTCTACTTCCAGCTATATACCCAAAAGAATTAAAAACAAGGACTTAGACAATTGAACACCAATATGCATCACAGCATTATTCATAATGGCCAAAAATATGAAAACAACCCAAGTGTTCATCAACGAATGAAAGGATAAACAAAATGTGGTGTATACATGCAAATGAATGCCCCTAGGATGCTCAAAGACAACTTAAGTTTTGAGGGAGTGAAAAGTTATATGCCTTTTTTTGACTGTGTGGGAGGTAGGTCCCACTAACCCTCGTGTTGTCAAGGGTCAACTGTATAATTCAACTAGGAACAACCTTCAGAATCAGCCTTGATACATTTTTCTACTGTTAAATAAAATGTCCAATAGAATAATGTTACATGTAGGAATGCCACCCATTTGAAATGGACTAAAACGCGATCCTATGTCCATCTTGGAATCTATATAAATTCCTTGTGATACATAGCCCTATGTTACATATGTTAAATATAAAGACAAATCTCTAGTCTAAGACCAGCCATTCAGCATTTGCCACTTGCCTGTAGTAACGTGACTGTAAGTAGGTTGAGCACACAGCCTTGGAAACGTGACTGGCAGAACCAAAGTCAATGACCTTCACTCGGTAGGGCTGGCGCACTGGGTCGACCAGCATTATGTTTTCGGGCTTGAGGTCGGCGTGAATCAGACCGAGGCTCTTGAGCTTCATCAGGGCCGTGGCCACCTGCTGTAAGATCGGTCTGATGTACTTGAGTGGCAGTGGGCTAAACTTGTTCTGCTTTAGAAAATCATATAAGTTCTGCTCCAGCATCTCAAACACAAGGCATGTGTGATTCTTGTGCTGAAAGCACTCATAAGAACGGACAAAATTATACTCATCAGCATTTTCACTGCTTAGGCGGGAAAGGATGCTCACTTCAATCTGGCCTTGTCTTGCATAGGAGGGGTGGTTCTTCAAGATTTTAATCGCCACAATCTCCTTGGTGCTCCGCTTCCAGCACTTCGCCACCTGGCCAAACGTTCCCCGGCCCAGGAACTCCAACACTTCATAGCTGTTGGTCATCGAGCAAAGGATCTCATGCTGGACCAGCTGGTAATCCCCTTCTCCGCTGGAACTGCTACTTTTTGTGGTCACAGTGGTGGTTGTGGCAGCAGCACCCACCACAGTCCTGTTTTGCAGCATGAGAGGGGGATGTTCTTCTATGATCTGCACGCTACCGTTGCTGTCAACTTCCTCACTTTTTCTTTTCAGTCCACATTTTTGATATGGCTCAAGCAAAGAAACGTTGCTCCTGTGCGTCAGGCTCTGGCTGCTTTGGAAGGTTGAAGTAGGAGCACTGGCAGAGCTGTCAGCGGCTGTTACAACAATATGCTCCACGGCGGGAGCCGGGAGGAGGAGGCCCTGGTCGTAAGCTGGGATGTTGAAATTTGCTACCTGGTGAGAGGAGCTGGCTTGTCCTTGTGTGGCTGGGAGGGTTTTGCTGTGGGTATAATATTTGTCGTTGCTGCTCTGTCCAGAAACATCCCAGCCAGAGGGCTCTATTTTCAGTTTCTTCGCACTGCAGAAGGCACTCGACGACACTGATGGGGGGGAGAACACCTGCAGCTGTGATGCCATACCTACATCGAGAGAGAGAGAGAGAGAGAGAGAGAGAGAGAGAGAGAGGAAGAATTAGGCCCTCAGATGCATACAGCCCCTCCATTAGTTATAAGAAAGCTTTCAATTCACAAAAACCACAGGAAAATGTGTATCTGGCTGGGATTTTATTTTATACATTTTCCGAAGTATGTTTCCTATTACAGAAGGATAAACTTTTTGGTCTAATTACACATCCTTAATAATTCTTGGAAACTCAACAATAGGACACAACGTTAAAGGTGTATAAACATCTATGGCGGTTTATAAAATATTAACAATAATAATCATAGCTTAGATGATTGATCACTCACTATGTGCCCAGTAGTAGTCTACGCACTTCACACGCATTACTCCTTCACATGCATTACTGCACATGGGGGATTTTTGTTTTTAAACCACGTAAGTCAATGACTGCTCTCTCTTTCTTAACCACCTCCCTCCCCCTGCCTCCCAGGTTTTTCCAGTGCTTTGGGGATAAAGTCCAAAATCCTCAACCTGCCTTAAAAAAGCTCTCCAAAAATCTCGTTGCTGTTTTCTAAAATCTCCTCCATTCCAACCATACTGCCCTTCTTTCAGCTTTCGGAAGGCCCTCTAATTCAACATAGACTCTCTGCTGGGAAAACTGTATTCTTTCTCGCTCTCTCTCTGTCTCTCTCCCTCTCTTTCTCCCCCCCCCCACAATCACCAAAACACACCCCCCCACCCCACCATACACTCCCATAGTGCTCTGTTCCTTCCTTATAACAAAGTTATTTAATGCTGCATTCCCAGCTACAGTGTAAGTTCCACAAGGGCAGGTACCACATCTGTCATGTTCTTTGCTCATATAACCAGAACCTACCACAGACTCTGGCAATATACAGACACTCACTGTTTGCTGGGTGATTTGACCCCTGCTTAACAACCTCCAATCTACCCCCTACCATTCATAATAAACTGCAAGATGCAGTTTCAAATGCTTGTTTTGTTTTTTAATAGTCCTCCCTTTTATCTGTGCAGTCCTTGGGAAACGGGGAAGTCTCCATTCCAATACACATCATATAATTTTACTAGTCATAAGAGAATAAACACACAACCAGAAAGGAAGGAAGCGTGACAAAGGATGTTACAGAACATAAAAAAGCAATGTGTACATTTCTTTGTGCCTGAATACAACTAAAAAACATCTGCACTAGACTAGACAGCTGGAACAAAGAACAAATCCTCAGCCTTCAATTTCTAAAATGCAGTCTGGATTTACTTCAAACAAGAGTTTCCATAATTTATATGAACCCTGAAGAGAAAGACGTGTAAATTAAAAGCTAAAGTCGGTACAATTTAACTCCAAGGCTATGAATTTACAAATCGTCTTATTCTACCCATATCACTGACATAAAACCAAATTATAATAAAAGAAAAATCTGAATTTTGCCTTCACAAAATTTACCTATTAAAATATATGCAAAAATATTTCTTGTCATTGTAAAATTTAGCCAATTTTGAACAATGAAAGGAAGCAAATTTGTGAAATTTGTTTTCCATCATCTGTCTATTGAGCTACTAATTTTAACTATCAAAAAACATAAGCACAACCCTTATGTGCCTAAAAGTACTTAGTAAGAGAACTGGAATACAAAATTTGCAGTTTGTAGCTATGTCTAGGAATATGGGGGCTTAAAACAATACTGGAAGAATTCATGAAATGCAATAGCAAATTTTTAAAAGTTATGTTCATAACTACACACTTAAAAAATATTGCATTACCAGATTAATGTTACTGACAACTTTTCACAAAATAACAGATACTGATAGTTTCAAATCTTCACTGAGCACTGCAAAAAGCACAAGTCCTAAAACAATTTCCCAAAAGTTAAAGTATATGTGTATAAATGAGTATAACTCATATTCAGTAAAAGACATACTTAGGCCTGCCCACAGGGAAGAGCCACCCAGAATTCCACTGGACTTCCCCAAATCAAGGGTGTGCAGTATCTAAGCCAATACCATGCCACCAGGGCTCTTCCAGTGAGACTGAGCCTCATGCTGACCTCACAAACACAAGGTGAGAAGAAAATACAGAATCAAAGCATCAAAGCTGCCTAGAAAAGTCAACACTCCTATTTATGTAACACTGAAATTCAGCTAAAAACAGCTATTTCTAGACACAGGATCAAGATACTATGTTCCATAAAATTTGCCTTTGTAAATGGGGAGGGAATTTTCTCCCTAGGCTGAGCCCTTCCCAACAAAAAGATGAAACAGAATTAACATCTGTGGGAAACTTACTATGTACCAGACTCTGTTAAAGCAAATTACAGTTAACCCTAGAAAACAGGGGCTAGGGGGTTTGGGGCACTGAACACCCCCCCACACACACACACACACACACACGCACAATCGAAATCGCCCAAAACTTAACTGAAGTAGAAATATTTTCAATTCACATGAGAACAGCTCCCAATAAATAATTTATGACTCCCTGAAAATGTTGCACCTCGACTCTAGCAATAAACTAGCCTTTTCATTTCAAACCTGAGTTTTCAGGGACTTAACCATCTAAATAAACATAACGATACATTTGCCCACTGTGTTAATCCCAAACTAGAACTAGCAGGTAAAAGATTACTGGTTCTTGTACTTACTGCTAAAAGAGAACTGAGTCTTGCTAGAATAGAATCCAAGGCTTTCAAAGACAGTCCAATTAACAGCTTCCCCACTCCCTGCAATGGTCACATCTATTTCATCATTTACTCAGTGCCTCACTGTGGGCACAACAGTAGATAATCTTAGTGTAAAGAATTCAAATATTGTAACTATAAATGGAACAACTGGGTATGGCAACCAAGGAAATTATTTGTCAGCGTTTGGCCCTTGGTCTTGAGTAATTTCCATCTTCTCCCTTGACACACCAATAATATATTCCTACTGCTTTTGCTTAATGTCATCTTTGCCCCCGTGATATAATTTAACGATTGATGACCTACATAACCTAAAATCAGTACTGTATGTTGATTTCTTTCTCTAGTACTTGTCCTCAGCTGACATGTACACAGATGTACACATTCTTCAGCATACAATAAGTGGGTAAATAAGAATGTTATGTTCTGGGGCCGGCTGAGTGGCGCATTGATTAACAGCTGGCTTGGGACGCCAGCTCTGAGCAGCAGGACCCCGGTTCGGATCCCACATGAGGGCCAGTGACACTGCCCTCCACAGCTAAGATGATGAACAACAACTCAACCTGGAGCTGGGCTGCCGTGAGTCCCTGGTGACGGTGTAGGCTGCAGCCCCTGCTGCAGTGGGCTGCCATAAGCTACCGTGTGTGGTCAGCGGCCAGCAACTGGTGTGAGCAGCCAGCAGCCATGGTGAGCGGCCGTCCAGTGGCCGGCGACTGATCTGCCTCACCCGGGAAGAGCGTAATGATAATACCAACATGAGCCAGTGAAGCGACGTCCTCCACAACTAGACTGAAGAACAAAAGGACAGCAACTTGTCTGTTCCCCTTCCCCCGATTCCCCAGTGCTGTTCCCCTCCCACAATTCCCCAATAAAATCTTTAAAAAAAAAAAAAAAGAATGTGTGTTCTGTAAAAATAAAGCAAGACAAAAAAAATAAATAAAGCAAGACAAGTTTGGTAAGAAAACCAAGTATCTCTCTACTCCATTTTTCTCCACCCCTATGGCACAGTTCTGGACTACTTCCTTCAACAGCCTAACTTGTCTCCCCCAAATTACACTCTCAAGCCTCCCTTTTAAGTTCCCTTCCCCCAATGCACTCTTCACCTTACAACTGAAGCTTTTAAAAATGCACATCTCATTCTGGTGGGAGTTGAGGGGAGTGGGAGAGGAAAAGGGTGAAGAGAGGGAGGAGGCCAGGGAAGGAGGTGGGGGCCTGGTGGGGGACATCTGGCGGAGCTGGCCCAGAGGAAGGGCTGCACTTGCTTAGGCAGTGGGCAGGGAGGGAGGGGACAGGACTGCAGGGGACAAAACGGACTCTGGGTGGGCGATGCGCCCTCTCAGTGACTGAGCCTGCCTGGCCACAGGTGCCCCTGGATGGGACCGTCCTGCACAGCCCCGACCGATCTTATAATCAATGGATAAAGTAGGGACAATGTGAACTACAGGTGTCAGAATCTCTTCACTCGTAAGGGGGGAAACCCTAGTGAAAATGTGCACATGAACTCCAACAGATGTTTGTCTGTCAGAGGAAAACGTCAGTATCGGGGACTCAGCTCCTCAGCAACAAAGCAGCCCCGCAAGAGAAAAGGTTGTCTTACAACTGGGATTAAGCCCTTCAATGAATTCTTCAAGGAGAAACCAAAACTGCCACTGAAATTCCTCAGCCTGTTGAAATAAACATTAAAAAAGATAATGATTCCTGTGTCACCCCAGGAACAAGGCTTGCAAGAAAAGAATCCTACCCTGGACATGCTCCATGGGAAGGGGAGAAGAAACATTCCTGGTCTACAAAGACACCAAGTTCACTGGATACTGGTAAATAGTTTGGAGGAACTCGAAGAGGACTCAAAGGAGAGAGAGGCGATATGGGGTACGCTCCATACGTGATACGGACAGTGTTTCCAGCAGAACTGAAGGAAGTCGCTCTGAGACACACGTTGTAGGATACTGTGAGCTGGTGTTTCCCATGAGAATCTACAACAAGCAGCCCAAGCCTCTCTTTTTTAATAAAAGAAAAATATACCTTTCTGAATTCATGCTTGAGAAATGCCCTTTTCCTGTTGGCTCAGATTTTGTCCCAAAATGGCATTTGATTAAACCACATACAGCCCCTCTAAGCCCACATTCAACATTTTTTGATACATTTGATCCATCCTTGGTTTCTACAGAAGATAGAGAAGGTAGGCTTACAGAGAGACGGCAGCTCAGTATTGAAGAAGGGGTTGACCCCCCCTCCCAATGCACAAATACATACATTTGAAGTCACTGCACAGGTTCATCCGTTATATAAACTGGGACCAAAGTTAGCTCCTGGCATGACTGAAA